GTCGACAGCAACGGGCGCGCCTTTCGACTGCTCCTCGTCGCCGTCGCCGTCGCCGCCGCCGAGAGGAGCGTCCCAGATCGCAGCCGGGGCCTTCTCGAGGTACAAGACGCTACCGGCGAACTGCTTGTAGACGAGGGCTTTCCAAGCTTCTTGGGCGCTGTCGCGATCGCCCATTTCGATGATGGCGAGCGTGCCCGACGGCGGAACGAGAAGCCGACTGACGGTGCCGTGTGCAGCGAAGAGCGCCTGGACAGCGGCGGGCGAGGTGGCGTAAGGGAGATTCTTGACCAGGATGCACGTCGCCGACCGCGGACCGGGACGGGCGAAGGCATCGACGTTGACGTGTTGCTGCGCAACAAGAGCATGGGCATTAGCGTGCGCGCCCTCCCGGGCAAGTCGAAACGTCACTCACGCTCTCGAGGTAGCGCTTCGTCTCGGAGAGCGTATGCGCTTCGGCAAGCGCAACCTTGACCGCGGGATCGGACGACGAGGGGTCGAGAAGAGCGGACTTGGCGACCCCGAGGCGGTCCGCAACGGCCGCGAGAGCGGCATCGGGCTGTACAGGCAGAAAGGCGAGTGAGCGGAAGGACGGCTCAGGACCGCGAGGGAGGAGACGTACGTTGAGGTACAAGGCAGCCCAGCTGAAAGCCTGACCGGCATTCTCTTTGCGCGCTGCGAGGCGCTGCTGCTTGAGTGTCCCGGCCGTCGCCTCGTCCGCCTTGCGTGGTGCCCGGCCGACGGCTGGGAGGATGTGCAGGAGGCGGCCCTGGAAGATTGTGCCGTCGAGTGCTGCGCGTGCTTCGAGGGCATGCTGCGGCTGGGTGAAGGTGATGTAGGCGATGCCGCGAGGAGTCGACTTCGACGGGTCGCGGGGAAGGTGGACCTGCGAGCTGCGGGTCGGCACGCTGGTCGTACGTGCGAGTAAAGGGCTTGTACGCACTTGCTCAAGGGGGCCGTAGTCCTCGAACAGCTGCTCGAGGTCGGCCTGAGTGGCTGCGAAGGGCAGATTCCGGACAAAGAGGCGGCCCGTTTCGGCGATCACCTCGTCCTCGTCCCGGTGTGGAGGCTGACGGCGCAGGTAGGAAGCGGGGTAGAGCGTCAGCAAGAACGAAGGAAGCGAGTGCAGGCGGTCTTGGCGCACCTGGTCCGAACCTTGCTCGCCTGACTTGGTCTCGGTGTCGGCGACCTGCTCGTCCTGCAGAAAGGAGCGCTTCGACTGCTGGGCGTCGTCGTCCGGTTCCACGACGTCGATGGTGCGCTTGAGACGCTTGGCGAGGTACTGCTCGTCTGTAAGCGACTCGTCCTGCGCGACGCCGTCGTCTGGGGTCGACTCGCGAGGCTGAGCGGGCTCGGCCAGTCTCTCAGACCCCCGGGCCTCTTGCGTCGAGCCGTCTGGCGGTGTGTCCTGCTCTCGTGGCTCGGCCTTTGGCGGGATGTGCAGCGGCGCGGACAGCTCGGTGGCGCCCGCTGCTGCGACGGGCTGCACCGAGTCTCGGCCGGTCATGACGGCGAGGAACTCTGTGAAGCGATCCGCCTTCTTGCCTGCCGCCTGCAGCACTCCGCCGTCGGGAGCTGCGCCGGCAAGCCTGGGGCGCTTTGCGGGTCGAGGCGCCTCGCGAGTCTGCGCGGGCGTCGAAGGGGTCAGCCGGATAGTCTGTGCAGAGGCTCATCTCGGCTGTGTACGCACGCTCTTTGCCCAGTCCGTCTTGACCCTTGCGCCGCCCCTTGCGCCTGCGAGCCATGCTCCGCTCGCCCACTGCCTGACGCGGTCTGCGTCGTCGTGCGAGCTGAACCCAGCGAAAGCGATGCAGCGGGATGACCCGTCTGGCCTGGCGAGGACCTTGAGGTCGGTGATTGCGGGCGTGGTGGGTGGGCAGCGTTGGATGTGGGTGCGGAGGTGGGTGGTGTCGAGGGAAGGGTGGAGGTTTGTGAACACGACTCGAGTGAGCTGGCGTGTGTCGTTGTCGTTGCCCATCTCTGTCCCAGCGAGAGTTGAGCGCGAGTCGAGCGAGTTGAGCGAAGGACGAAGGACGAGCCCGTGCGCCGGGTCTCATCTCGACGCGACAAGAGGCGGTGCACACAGCCCGACAGGAGGATAACTTGTCTACTGCACAATGCCGAGAGCAGCCTTCTGCGTCTCCAGGTAGATGCGACGGGCTTCAAAGGGATGACGGGACCGGCCTCCTACACTCCCGGTACAGCTTGCCTACGGGTACATGGCTGTCGAGTCGCTCGCACAGCAGGAAAGCGCCGCTCAGCTTGCGATTGAGGCTGTACGTCTCCTCTGGCGGCGGCTTGAGACGATGCTTGAGCATGATTGGGATCTGCTGCCGGATGCGAGCCGTAATAGGTGGTCCCAGGGTCCCGAACGGGAACGGGGACGGTGCTGAGTCGCGGAATGGTGTCGCGAGGGAGAAAAGTGACTCCAGGTGTGCGTCGACCATAGTCTGCGGGTGAACAAGTCAACTCACTCACGCGGATGCGGAATAGCGAAGCAGATCCACGCACGGCGCCCTCCCCGCCCGTCAGATACCCTAGCTCTTGCGAGAGCTGTATAGCCTCATCCCTGTTCTCGGCGATGGCGGCGTCAAGCAGATTGGCGTAGACGCGCATGAAGTCGGCGGAGTACTCGCGTGTTGCTCCGAAATCTACGAGCTCGAGCTGCGGCATGCCCAAAATGTCAGGCGTTCTCGCAGCCTCCAGGAGGATAGATTCGTGCGCACCTTGCGTGTGCGAGGGTTGTAAAGGAAGTTGCTCCAGTTCGGATCGGTCTGCATGAGTCGGAAGTCGAAGAGCTCGTACATGCAGAGCTGCATGACCCTCGTGCCGATCTGCATCGCGATCGAATTCAATGTGAGATTCGTCAAAGTGAGCAAAGCTGCGCACCTCGTCGCGGGTCGCCTGATCGAGCGCAAACACGTCTTTGAGCGGACGGCCAGTCATCATTCTCGTTGTGAGGACCATGGGCCCGCAGAGTTCGTCGACGACCTCGGGCACATCAAACGAGTCCGCAAGAGCCGAGGCGGCGATCTTGTCGCGCATCTTGCGTCCGCATTGCGCCTCGCGGAGGTAGTCGCACTCGTCCTCCAGCTCTCGCCCGAGCACTCGCAGCGTGTTGTCGAGGTAGAGACCGCGTGGCAATGCTGCACTCGCGACGAGTAGCCAGCGCAAGGTGCCGAGGTCGCTCGTGATGGACTGGCGGACACCCGGAAACTGGACCTTGACGGCGAGCTCTTCGAGGCCGTTATAGCGGTCCCGCAAAGGCGAAGCTTGGGCGAGCTTGGCTCGGTGTACCTGTCCGATTGATGCGGCTGCGAACGGACGCATATCGAACGTCTCGAAGTGCGTCTGCCAGTCGTCGCCGAGGTTGTCCGCTAGGACTTGCTGTGTGCCCGCAGGTCAGCCATGACTCGCGAGAGAGTGCATGAAGCAACGAACCGCTGTCTGCCATTCGGGCATGAAGTTTGCGCTGTTCTGTACGCGTTGAAGTATCGCTTCGAGTTGCGGCGGAAGCTGCTTTGTGTCTGCGCGGACCAAGACAAGGTCGACACTGGACGTCAATACGGGGCGTACATGGACGACTCGGCGCAGACTAGCCTTGGATGCTGAGGAACTGGCCGAGCTTGAGTGCGGCACCGCGCATCTTGGACAACTTGGCGACCAAACGCTCGAGGTTGGCCTCGCTCATGAGTAGCGACTGCGAAGACCCGCCTGACCGAGTCGACGAACGACGGAACGCTTCGCTCGCCATGCCGACGCCGAGCGTAGCAGCGAGGCCTGCGGGCGATCGACCGAACGAAGGGTGAGTGTCGCTGCCGACGCCGTTGTTTACACTGACTCGCCTCCGTAGTGCATCAAGCGACCGAATCGGGACGAAGGGACTTTGGAGGCGATGGCATCGGCCTGTTGTCGAGCAGAGTAAGGCGAGGTCAGTCATTCACGACGTTACATGAGAGCTGAAGGAGGGGTCTGCGAGACGTACAGCTAGCCGAGGTTCCGTGTACTCTTCTTGTATGTCATCTCGAACGGTCTCTTTGGCTGGCAGGTCGAGCTGAATGGGTGACGGCGCGAGCGAGGGAGCGTCATACGAGCGAGGCGATGAGGTATCGAGGGTAGCGACTGGGTCAGATGGGAGTTGGGCGGTACGGGGAGTCTCTGAAGGAGGTGATCTCGGTTCTGGCTGCGGTGCTGAAGCGGAGAGAGCGGAGAGAGGCGGAGGAGAGGGTCGATCGTCAGGAAGCGAGGTCGGCGGGGGAGGAACGGGAGCGGTCGCTGCGAGCGGGGTTGCCGGTGGTACGGGTGGCCTGAGTGCTCGCCCGGGAAGCTGTGTGCGCAGTTGTACGTCCCCAGGGTGCGTGTGAGGCTGGGTGAGGCTGTCGCGGAGTGGTGAGCGATGAGGATGCGGTCGCGGGAGTGAGCGGGTCTGGCGGAGCGCGAGTGCCGCGCGTGCGAGGCTGAGTGCGCCTGCTGCAGCCTGCCCGAGTCCAGCGTGCGCCCGTCGCCCTCGTGCGCTCGCCATCAGCGCCAGAGTGAACCCGCTCGCTATCGCCGGCGCCGTCCGCTTCGCTCGCTCGTCTCGCTCACCGCGCTCATCGACTCGCACGCACGGCAGCCCGCACGATGGCACAGCAGGAGCGCAAACGTACGTCCGCACCAACTCCCGCTGTCCGCTTCACCCGCGAGGCCTCCCCACTTGCTCGCGCCGCGGCTGTTCCGTCCAGCGCTTCCTCGCCGTCGCGTCGTCTCAGAGGGCCCGCCTGACTCGCCGTGAGCCCGCCCGCAGCCCTCCCCTTCGCCTACCAGTTCCTGGCAGGCGCAATCGCAGGCGTGACGGAACTCCTCTGCCTCTACCCGCTCGGTGCGTCCTTCCTTCTCCTCGCTCGTTGCCGCCTGTCCTGACGAAGCGACTTCGCGCCGCTGAACAGATGTCGTGAGTTGCGGCGTGCCCAGAGAGGCGGCGAGGGTCGCGCACTGAACGCTTTGCTTTGCCCGCCATCCAGGTCAAGACTCGCATGCAGCTGCAGGTCGGCAAGGCGGTCCCCGGCGCAGAGCACTACGACGGCATGGTCGACTGCTTCCGCAAAATCATCGCCAAGGAAGGGTGCGTCGCACGCCAGACCCGCATGGCGCCTGCAGACCACGACGCGCTGACCTTTGTGCTTGGCTCGCTCGCAGCGCTGGCCGCCTCTACCGAGGCCTCGTGCCGCCTTTGATGCTCGAGGCGCCAAAGCGTGCCGTCAAGTTCGCCGCCAACGACTTCTGGGGCAAGACGTTCAAGCAGACGTTCGGCGTCGACAAGATGACCCAGAGCCTCTCGATCCTCACCGGCTGCAGCGCAGGCGCAACCGAGAGTGTCGTCGTCGTCCCCTTTGAGCTTGTCAAAATCCGTCTCCAGGACAAGAACAGCACGTACAAGGGACCGATGGACGTCGTCGCCCAGATCGTCAAGAAGGACGGTCCGCTCGGACTGTACGCTGGCCTCGAGCCGACGTTCTGGCGGTTCGTCACACGCTTCTCGTCGAGCTCTGCGAGGAATCAGCTGACGGTGGCATTTCCTCCAGGCATGTGATGTGGAACGGCGGCTACTTTGGATGCATCTTCCAAGTCCGCGCCCTCTTGCCCAAAGCCGAGGTCCGCTGAGCGCCTCGTCCTTCCATCTGATGCCCTGAGCTGAGCGTATTACCGCAGACCAAGTCGGCTCAGCTCTTTAACGACTTCGTCTCGGGTGCCGTCGGCGGTTTCGTCGGTACCGCCTTCAACACTCCTTGTGCGTTAATCTCTCACCACGACTTGGAGAGGCTCTTCTGAGTGCTCATGCTATGCACGCGCCGCTGCAGTCGACGTCGTCAAGTCACGCGTGCAGAACTCGGTCAAGGTGCGCTCCTTCCTGCTCTTGCGCCCGCATCCGGCTTCTTCAACTCATGCTCGTGCTACTCCAGGTGGCGGGTCAGGTACCCAAATACAACTGGACATTCCCGTCGCTCCTCCTCATCGCGCGGGAAGAAGGCGTCGGCGCGCTCTACTCTGGCTTCCTCCCGAAGGTCTTGCGACTCGCACCGGGAGGCGGTGTACTCCTGCTCGTCGTCGAATTCACTCTCGGCATATTCCGCAAGCAGCTTGGCCCGCCCTATGTCTGAAGATACTTTGCAATTTTCGTAGACTTGCTAATCGAGGACAGGCAGCATCCCGCTCGCATCGGCTGAGGCTCGCGTTCTGGCGGCGAGAGGTACCGAGGACGACAATTGCAAAACACCAATAAAGATACGACGCTCGCCCCAGAACCTCCTCGCAGCGTCCTCCGAGATGGCTTGACCGGACCTTGCCTTGAAGCGCTTGCGACGGCGAGTGATGACAGGGAATCCGAGCGATTGAGATGCGGCGGGCTGCGAGAATGCATGCAAGGGCGTCAGGTTCTGCCAGTCGCGACTCAGGAGAAAGAGGAGGACTCACGGAGGATTAGGCGACGGTGCAACCGTTGCGGGTCCACGAGATCTCCGGGTACTTGGAGACGGTGCAACCGTTGCGAGTCCACGAGATCTCGGGGTACTTGGAGACGGTGCAGCCGTTGCGGGTCCACGAAATCTCCGGGTACTTGGAGACGGTGCAGCCGTTGCGGGTCCACGAAATCTCCGGGTACTTGGAGACGGTGCAGCCGTTGCGGGTCCACGAAATCTCCGGGTACTTGGAGACGGTGCAGCCGTTGCGGGTCCACGAAATCTCCGGGTACTTGGAGACGGTGCAGCCGTTGCGGGTCCACGAAATCTCCGGGTACTTGGAGACGGTGCAGCCGTTGCGGGTCCACGAGATTTCGGGGTACTTGGCGACGGTGCAGCCGTTGCGGGTCCAGGAGATCTCGGGGTAGGCGACCATGTTGTTGAAGAGTGGAGAGTAGGCGGGTGTTTGGAGAGGAGGAAGGCGAAAGAGTTGGCTGAGGAGGGATGTAGGAAGGAGAGAGCGTCGAAACGACGAGCGGCTCTCAAATAGCCACCGAGAACAAGGGGAGACGACAAGACAAGCCTGCACAATGGACAAAGGTCAGCATCGACGAACAAACGCAGACGAACAAACGATCATGGAACAAAGGGCAGACGACAAGAACAAAGGCCCTCGACGCATCCGAGACAGGGCGTGTGGATTGCGTGTGGCAGCGATACGGAGTCAAGTGAAGGCTCGCAGCGAGTATGTGGACGCAGTGGCGATAACAACCCTCGGAGCGTATCATCGAGAAAAAGAAGAAATAGAACCAATTCCTCCTTCCAGAGCCGAGCTTCATCGCGCCGTACTACGGAAGCGTAGCAGCGGTGCCAAAGCTGCGGGCGGGCACGCCTTCTTCAGAAATTCGTGCTGTGTGCAGGCGGGGAGGGGATGTGAGCGGTCGGCGGCTGCGCGGCAAGAGAGATCCGACGCACCTCGAGGAGTTCGTCCGCTGTCGCTCGCGACTTGACGTCGACACAGAGGCAGACGGCGAGGAAGTTCTTGAGCTCCTTGCTCAGCTTTTCGGGCTTTTTGAGGGTTGGCGTCCCGTTCGTCGCGATGAGGTAGAGCGCTTTGAGCGGTTCTTCATCGAGATACGGCGGTTCGTTCTCAATCATCTCAATCGCCATGATGCCGAGAGACCAGATGTCGACCTTTGCGCCGTACTCCTTCTGCTTGACGACTTCGGGCGCCATCCAGTACGGCGTGCCGACCATCGTCGCGCGCTTTGACTTCTGGTCGGTCAGCTTTGCACAGAAGCCGAAGTCGGCTGCGGAAGACAACGACTGTCAGCACTCGTGATGACTGGCAAGAAAGGCGCTTGACTCGCTGATCTTGACGTGTCCGCGCGCATCGAGGAGCACATTGTCGCTCTTGATATCGCGATGGATGATGCTCTGGGCGTGAAGGTGACGGAGACCCTTGCACGTCTGCGGGGAAAGACGATTCAGCGTGCAGAACGGCCCAAGCGGGCAGACGTCCACGCACCTCGTTGGAGATGCACGCGATCTGGTCCTCCTGGAGGGTGTTGCTGTCGATGATGTCTGTGAGAGCTCCGCCCTCCATGTACTCCATGACGACCCAAAGCTCGCTTCCGCCCACGAGGAACGAGTCGAGGAAGTTGACGATGTTGGGGTGCTGACTCTCCTTCATCACGAGGATTTCGTTGACGATGAGCTCTTTCCGAGGCTGGTGGCTCAGGTCCATCTGCTTGATCGCGACGCGGGCACCGTCGGCGAGGACCTTGGCCACGAAGACGGAGCCGGACGCGCCTTGCCCCACCTTCTTGATCTTGGCGTAGAGACCGTTCGGGTCGGCCGGCGAGCAAACTGAGCGCAGCTTGGCCATGATCTGCGCCTCGGAGAGCGTCGAAATGCGCCGGTCGCCAGCCGCCTTGTCAACCTTCTTCGAAGAACCGCCTGTCTTCGGTTCTTGCGGCCCGTCACCGCCTGATCTCGCCGTCGCTGACGCCGCACCTGCCGTGCTCGCTGCGGATGCATTCGTTCCTGCGAGCAATCGCAGAGGTTTTGCGCCTACGGGGAGAGGTGCAGATGCTGGAGGGGGAGGCGCGGGACGCAGGTTTGCGGGCGAAGGTTCGTGCAGGTTGCTTCGAGAGGACGCCGTCGTAAGCAGAGGCCGCAATCCGTTGTTGGGAGGAGGCGGACGAGACGGTGCGGTCCCCGGCGGAGCTGGTGGAGCGGGCCGGCCGGGCAAGAGTACTGGTCTGTCCGGAGTCGAGGCGGACGCAGGCTTCGGCGCAGTGATGACGGGTGACGCGGGCGAATGTGGAGACGGGATCGATGAGGAGGTAGAGGAGAAAGAGGGTAGGCCATGGGCTGGGCCTGGGAACGGTCGAGGCGCTGTTGTCGACGTCGAGGGGGAAGATATCGCGTGGTTGGCGGGCGACGGCATGCGTGGCTGGCTTGAGCTCGATCCTGCCAGACCGGTCCCGGCTTCGAAGCGAGAACCTGAGTCCGCAGCGGCTCGACCTCCTTGGTCGGCGCGCAGGGCGCGACCTACGTCGGTCATGCCCATGCTCGTCGTGCCGAGCCCGAATTCGTCTCGCTCGCGCTTCTGAATGTTGGTGTAGAATTCGAGAACGTCGAGCACGGCCTGCGGGTTCTTCGCATAGTCCTCCTTCGTGATCGCGCTGCTCGTCAACAGGCGGGTCCACTGCTCCGGCAGGCCCGTAAACGCGCCGCTGACCGGGTCGAAGCCGACGTGCACTTGGTGGACAAAGTTGGTGGGGCTGGAGACACCCATCAAGGGCGAGCGCTCGTAGATATCGTCCATCCACGCGTAAAGCTCCTTGTCGGACCGCAAGGCGAGGTAGTACGTTCGGACTGGTGTTGTGACGGAGATGCAGAACGGCTTCAGGTCTTCTCGCGAGACGGCAGAGACCTCCGCGAGCTGAATGACCGTCGAAGCATTGCCTCCGCTCTGTGGCACGGCAACCGTGAGCCCGAAGCGGGTAGGGAGGAGGGGAAGAAGGATGTCGCGCACCTCGTTCTTGTAGAAGCTGAGCGACTGTTCCCGCAGCACGAGCCACTTCTTGCTCCAAAGCCAAGCGCGCAGCCCGTCCTCCTTGACGCTGACCCATCCTCGCCGCAAGATTGTCTGCGCCGCGCCTGACGAGCTCGCGACAGGCGAGGCGTCGTGGACGGGCCGATTCGCCGTCGACGATGCCAAGCTCTTCGGACCCTGCGACGCCGCAAAGGGAGCATAGCCCGCGGGTGCACGGGACGCGGAAGGAGGGACGGGAGGAGCGGGGCGACTGGGCGTGAGCGACGGCGGCGCGTAACCGTCGGGGTCGCCTGGGCCGTACGTGTGCAAGAAGCTGCCGTTCCTGGCCATGACTGGCTGGCTTCAATCGCCTGGCTGGTTCAAGTCGGGCTTCGAGAGGACCTTGCGGGGGAGGAGTCGGGTCGACAGTCACGCTGCGTCGCTGCTCGGGGAGACGAGCGAGATGCACAGGGGCAGTCCTATTCAAGCGGCGGAGACAGTCTCGACCAGGCGCAGCAGGAGAGCGAGCGAGAGTTGGACGACGGGCGAAGAGCGCGACGAGGACCCGACGCGACTCTCTGCCAACGACCGCTCGCTGGCTGACCAGGCAGACTCGCGAGACAGACTGGGACGTGCACCGAACGACACAGCGAAGGTGCACGCAGCGCTCGTGGCTCTTCGCCTCCGCCAACGCTCTCACTCTGTACCCCGTCCTCGACCTCGACAGTCCGTGGTTCTCCCGCTCGTGGAGTCGGGTCGGCAGCTTGGCGGACAGGCTTGCAGCTTTGGCACCGCTGCTACGCTTCCGTAGTACGGCGCGATGGAGCTCGGCTCTGGAAGGAGGAATTGGTTCTATTTCCTCTTTTTCTCGATGATACGCTCCGAGGGTTGTTATCGCCACTGCGTCCACATACTCGCTGCGAGCCTTCACTTGACTCCGTATCGCTGCCACACGCAATCCACACGCCCTGTCTCGGATGCGTCGAGGGCCTTTGTTCTTGTCGTCTGCCCTTTGTTCCATGATCGTTTGTTCGTCTGCGTTTGTTCGTCGATGCTGACCTTTGTCCATTGTGCAGGCTTGTCTTGTCGTCTCCCCTTGTTCTCGGTGGCTATTTGAGAGCCGCTCGTCGTTTCGACGCTCTCTCCTTCCTACATCCCTCCTCAGCCAACTCTTTCGCCTTCCTCCTCTCCAAACACCCGCCTACTCTCCACTCTTCAACAACATGGTCGCCTACCCCGAGATCTCCTGGACCCGCAACGGCTGCACCGTCGCCAAGTACCCCGAAATCTCGTGGACCCGCAACGGCTGCACCGTCTCCAAGTACCCCGAGATCTCGTGGACTCGCAACGGTTGCACCGTCTCCAAGTACCCGGAGATCTCGTGGACCCGCAACGGTTGCACCGTCGCCTAATCCTCCGTGAGTCCTCCTCTTTCTCCTGAGTCGCGACTGGCAGAACCTGACACCCTTGCATGCATTCTCGCAGCCCGCCGCATCTCAATCGCTCGGATTCCCTGTCATCACTCGCCGTCGCAAGCGCTTCAAGGCAAGGACCGGTCAAGCCATCTCCGAGGACGCTGCGAGGAGGATCTGGGGCGAGCGTCGTATCTTTATTGGTGTTTTGCAATTGTCGTTCCTCGATACCTCTCGCCGCCCGAACGCGAGCGTCAGCCAATGCGAGCACCGCGGACCGGACGTTGAGAAGTCCTGCTTGCTCGACCTCCCGTTCTCGAAGCCTGGTGTGCGCAGTGAATGGATGCCCGTGACAGACGAAAAACGAAGTTATGCGAAAGTGCTAGAACGAAAGGCAAGATGAAGGAAAAGAAGACTGGGTGCGTGCGAGAGAAAGCTACAACTGGCTAGAGCTACTGAGTCGCGCGTCGCACCATCTGCGTGACCAAATCATCAGTACACGACAGCGGTGAACGAAGCAAGCAAGACGCACCTCGCGCGCCCACTTGGCAACCTTCTTCGTTTCCGAGCCGCCCATCTTGGTTCTTCCCGCCTTGAGCAGATCTGCGACCCACGACGAGCTGAGAGGTTCCTTCAGCTGACCATTCGGGAACGCCTCTGCGAGGTCGCCCAAGAGCCCAATCGCGGATCGAAGAATGGCCTCGGTCCGGTCCTGGTCGGTCAACACGAGGTGCAGGAAGGCGAAGATGTCGCTGATGTAGGGTAGCAGGATGTCGACCTTGCCGCCAGTCTTGAGACCGCCGATGATGCCGGTGTACGCCTCGAGAATGCCTTCGCGCAGCGTGTTGACGTAGTCGACCAGGTCGTAGTTGTTCTGCGTGCGCGGGCGCATCAGTCGGACCACATTACCGCGATCGTGATCGGACGGGGGCGACAACGTACCGGATCCGCCCGCATTTGGCCTGCTTGCTGCAGAACCTTCATCGTCGTCTCAAGGAATGGCTCGAAGGCGGGTCCGACTGCAAGAGCGACATCGCCGAAGCAGCTAAGGATGGGCGGCTTGACGCTGCGATGCAGGACCGGACTCTGCAACGCGTTGAGGAGGCCCTGCATGAATTGCTGGCAGTAGGGAAGGCTGGCGTCCCCGAGGGCACGGCAGAGATCTCCGATCGAACCGACGGCGATCGAGCACAGCTGATAGGCCTCATACGACGAGAGCGCCTCGAAGAGGAAGGGCGTGAATGCCTGGATGTACTTGCTGAAGTCGGACTCGAGGGCGGTAGTCATTGCGCCGATCGCCAAGAAGGCGTCTTCGACAACGGGTGACTGGTTGCTGGCCGTCGCAATGAGTTGGAGGAGGAGGTTCATGATGCGGTCGCCGAGAGGCTGGATCTCCCGACCAAGTCGCCGGACGATATTCTGCGATTCTCGCACAGTCAGATCCAGCCAGTCTGCGAGCCAAACGGGAAACGCACGGTCAGGAGGCTGCAAATGTTGACCTGCAGTTCGTTGTAGTTGTTCCGGTCATCCGAACCGACGAGCTGGCCCTGCAGAGAAGAACGAACGGATCAGCATGTCCCGGTTACGGCGGCAGGAGGAGCGCCGCACCTGCATACCGAGAAGCGCTTCCGAGCGGTCGAGTGTCGCAATGACCAGCTTGGACACGATGGGCAGGCAATCCGAGGCCGAGTGGGTTGCGAGGGCGGAAAGCGCCTCGTATGCGGACGTGCGGGCGTTCGCCTCGTTGGTCGGCCTGTGCAGGCACAACACGGATCAGCCGACCGCGCTTGAATCGTATGAGCGGGACGTACCGTTCGGCCAGCCGGAGCAGAGCCGACACGAGAGGATCGTAGTAACCGCTGAGCGGAGACGTATCGGCTGAGGCATCGCCGAGCTGCTCGGAGAGGTTCATGATCGTCCAGCAGCAGTTGCTGACGATGCGCGGCGACTGCTCGAGGCCGGAAACGAGGGCGGCGACCATCGGTGGAAGGTGCGTGTCGAGCTTGATCGTCTTGACGAGCACGTCTGACACGCGTCCAAGCGTCCAGGCAGTCGTGTCGCGGACGTGCATGACCGGATCCGCCATCATCTCGATCAACGTTGGCAAAGCTTGTTCGACGAGCGGCGCGAGGATCTTCTCGCCCGGTCCGTCGAGGATGGACCCGAACGCCATGACGGCGGCTTCGCGGAAATGCCAGTCGGCGCTCTTGATGTTGCCTTCGACGAACGGGATGATTGGCGAGACGATGGCGTCGCCCACGGCCTGGGCGAGGAGGGCGAGGCAGGTTCCGGCAGCCATCGAGACGTTCCATTCGTCGTCTGTCGCGTCTTCGTCTTGCTTGGTCAGGAGAAGGAGGAGAACCGGGAGGATTTCTGGCAGGGCGACACGGGCGAAGTGCGAAGACTCGCGCTCGGGAGCCTCACTGTACTCGGCCGCCTCTTCCGCCTCGAGCGCCAGCTCAATCTCCTCGTCGCACACGGTCGACCAGAATTCGACAGCCTGCAGCGCGACGTTCTCGTCGGCGTGCTTCATGCCAAGGACGGTGAGCTGTGTCGAGGCGGCGTCAGTGCGAGTCCGAGCAGCAAAGAATCAGTCTCGAACGCACCCCGAAGAGCGCCCGCTCCATGTAGAATTTCATGTAGTCGTAGTAGAGCTGCATGATCTTGACGAGGCACGCAAACGCCGCGACCTGAACGTCGGAGGACGATGACTGCGTCGCTTCGCAGACGACCTGCATGATGTAGTTGCGCTCGCCCTGCGTATGCAAGAGTCAGCGCCAATCGACCCGCCTGCTGACACCGAGCCCACGCACCTCGCGACTGAAGTTTTCGCGCACGAACTCGAGTGAGTTGTACAAGGCGTTGACGGCGGCGAGCTGGACCTCGGTACTGGCGAGAGGACGTCCGGGTCAGTCTGGGCAGCGAGCTTGACGAGCGGCGGTACGCACTTGGGCTCCTCCTTCCGCGCGCCTTGAACGACAGCCGTGAGGATCTCGTTGGACTGGGCTGCGAGGATCTCGGGTTTCTGCAGACGGAGACGAGGGTCGTTGTGAGCCTCGAGATTCCAAGGAGCGAGGGTCTTGTCGACCATGCCCAACTCACGATCGCCTCGCAAATGTAACCGATCGTCTGCAGGGTCGCCTGCCGCAGGTGCGGATTGTCCTGTCGACTCGCCAACTCGAGCAACTGTCCAACAAGCCCGACCCACATCCCGGCCGGCAGTTCGACGGCGGCGACCGCCGCGATGACCTGCCCAGAGACGTTCCGCGCGCTCCGCTCGGGTGCTGCAAGCGTCGCGAGCGCATCGTGCTTGACCCGGTCGCGCGTCGCGGGGTCGAGGTTCTTCCACCTGTTGGCGTACTCTTCCTGGCGCGGCGCCTCCCTGGCCGCGAGCGCGTTCTTGATGGCGAGTCCTGCGGCGTTGCGGATGTGTGCGGGCGCCTGTGCGTCTGCGAGCGTCTGCGAGAGGCTGGCGAGGTAGGCGGAGGGGTTGGATGAGAGGAACGAGAGCAGCTGCGACTCTGCGAGCTCGCGCTCCTGGTGGTTCGGCGAGAGCGTGGCGGCGAGCACAGCGTTTGCGTCCATGGCCAGCGCGTTCTGCGTGCCCCCGTAGCAGGTGTGGGAGAGGGAGGGAGGACGAGGGTCGCCGGACAGTCTCTAATCCCTTGCATTACAACCTGGTTTGTATTGAGCCATTACAACTCGCTCATCTCGCTCTGCTGGCTTCAACACACCTCGACGCTTTCCTGGTGAGCAGACGCCGAGCTCTCATAGGCGGACACACCCGCTTCTTTGCCCATCGCTCCTCGCTTCGACGCTTCCGCCGCCTCTTCCCCCTCCCGCTCTCTCCTCTCATCAACGCTCCGCGCGCTTTCGCCATGAACTCGGACGCACGAGTGAGTCTTGCTTCATTCTTGAACGTTTCTGTTGAGCTGAAGCCGTTTCGCAGGGCCGCGGGCGTGGCCGTGGAGGTCGAGGTGGTGCCGGTCGCGGCGGAAGTGCTGGGAGAGGAGGAGGCGACGACCGACCGCGGCGAGAAGCGATCCTCGATCTCGCCAAGTACGTCGACAAGCAGATCAGGGTCAAGTTCACTGGCGGACGCGAAGGTGCGTTTCCCTTCTGACATCTCGCTCGCGCGCCGTTCCTCATTCGGTGTGTTGTTCCGCCCCTTTGTCGCTTGGCTGCAGTGACCGGGACATTGAAGGGTTTCGACCAGCTCCTCAACCTCGTCATGGACGACTTGGAAGAGACTGTCAACGGTGAGGCGGCCCGGCCATGCGCCTTTGCCCCTCCCTTCACGGCGAGCTGACGCTTTCCTCCCGCAGATCCGGCTACGGGTCTCCCTTTCGTCCCGCAACAGACGCGAGCACTCGGTCTCGCCGTTCTGCGAGGAACTAGCTTGGTCGTGATCAGTCCGCTTGACGGGTGAGCGCACCTCGACAATCCTTGCGCAACTCTCGCTGACAATTTTCGTGGCCATTGATGCAGTGCGGAGGAGATTGCCAACCCGTTTCAAAGCGCTTGATAGTGCAATGAAGGGCGTCTGTCTAATCCGAGAGGTGGGATTCCGACGGGAAGTTGAAGAGCGAAGAGGCGAGTTCCTCCGCGTCGGAGCTGCGCTGAGAGCTGTTCTACGCTCCGGAGCTGCGAAAGCGTAAAAGCGATGCGTCTGCTGAGTGCAGGCTTCTTCACTCGCTTCGCTGCTTCCCAGGCTTGCTTCAGCGCCATGACTCGCATTGCTTTCCTGTGCCTGCTGGGACTCGTACACGGTGCGATCGCTGCTCGAGTCTTAGTCGCATCAGACGGCGCGCCATCCCATGGGCGCTTCCTCGAGTCGCTGCGAGGTGCGAAGTTCCGCCGCACGTAGCCGGCGACAGAACTTGCTGACGTGCATGGCTTCTCAGACGCAGGCTACGAGGTGGATACGGGTACTGCGCAGACCGCTGCGGCCAAGCTGCGGGACGAGGGCGGGCGTTTCGACCATCTCATCGTGTTCGCCTCCCCACACAAGCGTGAGTGCTGGCGCACAACTTGCGGTAGTGGTGCTGACTCACAGGTGCCGCTCAGAAACGCCGACTGAACTCTCGCCGCAAGCACTGGCGCGCCGCCTTGACGCTGGCGCCAACCTGCTCCTCATCACTTCCCCCGAGTCGGCGGAGATCTGGCGAGATTTCGCGCGCGAGTTCGGCGTCGACTTTGACGACCGTGGATCCTTCGCCGTCGATCATTTCAGCTACGCGACAGAGGACGACGACGGCACGCACACCTTGCTCGCCATTCCGCCCGCCAGCGCACCTCTGCCTTTCGTCTCTGCCGCGACTCGGGCAGGCCCACCGATTGCGTACCGCGGCGCTGCGCACTCTACGAGTCGCAACCCCCTTCTCACTACCGTTCTTCACGCCTCGTCGACCACTTTCGGCGCGACTCTCGACGGAGTTGTCTCGTCCGATGACGACAAGCTCGCAGGCAGCGCAACGAGCTTGGTGAGCTCGTTCCAAGCTCGCAACAACGCTCGCGTCAGCTTTGTCGGATCTTTCGACCTCTTCTCCGATCGATACTTCGCCGAGGGCGCGTCGACAAGGTTCGTACCTTCACGCTCGTGCGGAGTTGGCTGCGCTGACGACCACGAGCCCGCCAATAGGTTCGGCAACGCTGCTTTTGCGCGCGATCTCGTCGACTGGACGTTCCAGAAGACGGGCCTGCTCGTCAAGCGCTCCTCGCAAGTGGTGGTTCCGGGCGATCAAACTTCCCGGTCGTCATACCAGGTTGGGACGCAGTTGGTGCGTTTTCGCAGTCAGTCCGATGGCTTCAGGCAAACGGTGACGGTTGCGGCTTTCCACAGGTCTACTCCCTCGAGGTGGCCTCTTCCGAGCCGTACCAGTCGAACGACCTGCAGCTGGAATTCGGCATGCTCGACCCGCACGTCCGCACCGGGCTGCTTGCGACCGAGGTCGACCAGTCCAGCAACGTCACAAGGTACAGCACCCAGTTCAAGGTCCCTGACCGCCACGGCGTTTTCACCCTCCGAGTGGATCATCGACGACCTGGGTGGACCCGCATCCTGGATGAAGTCGTCATGTCGGTGACGCCACCTCGTCACGACGAGTACGACCGCTTCATCGGGGGAGCTCTGCCGTTCTACACCGGAGCGGCGAGCGTTTCGGCCGCCTTCCTCATCTTCATCGTGCTCTGGTCGCAGCAGGCCTAGTCTGAGCGGTCCGCAATGCAGCAGCTTCCCTCTTCACCTGGCCTGGATTTGCGATAGGAGCGCATGACGGACGAGGCGTGACGATTACAACAGGAGCGAGAGGGCAGAAATCTGGGAGAGCTGGCGCAACCGTGCAGGCCGCTCAGGGTATGGGCGGTTTGAGCAACTGTCTGACGAGCTCTACCGTCCTTTGCTAGGCCTACGAGAGCACACATAAATCAGCAATTCCGTTCTTCCGAACCTTCCGGCGCCGAGGGAGGAACGTACGTATGCCGCGCGGGCTTCTTGCTGTGGGCGAACTCGCCGAGCTTGTGGCCGACGTGTGCCGGGGTAACATGGAGCGGGATGTAGTCCTTGCCGTTGTGGACGAGGAATGTCGCTCTGTTCGACGGGAGCTCGTGAGCACAATCCTGGGCGAAAGCACTGGACACGGGCGCACCCGACGTGGAACGGCATGATGGTGCAGTTGCGAGCAGTTGTACGGATCGGCGAGTTGGTCTTGATGGCTTCGGCGAGGCCGGGGAAGGGGACAAAGTACGGCACTGATGAGGAAGACGAGTGAGCAACGCAGGTCGCGAGGCGGCGTCGGTGGGACGCTCGTGCACACCTTTCCACTTGGACCTGCTCAGCAAGACCGGCGAGCGCCACATGGCTGGTGCGGAGGCGAAGGCAGCGAGTGGAACGGGGTGAAGGATGGCGCTCTCGAGCAAGACGGATAGGCAGGCCCTTGCAACTTTCTCTGAGGTCGCTTCGGACAGCTCGTTGCTCGCATGGGTTCTTTGCACCGTTCTACAACTCTGTCGGAGCAAAGGAAGCGCGTCAAGCGAGGCTGTTCGTCCGCCTGCTCTGCCTCTTCTCCTGCCTCGGAGGCAGAAATCGCCGGTGTGACAGCTGCCAAACGACAGGTTACTCCGCACCAATCTGCTGCATCCGCCCGCTCACGCGCCGGGATAGGCGAGAGGTGGTGGTCTCGATAGCGCAAGCCGATTCAGTCCGCCGTTCTCGGTCAAGGGAGGCTCCGGCGCTGCGGGAGGTGGCCAAGCACAAGAATGTGGGACGATCGAGCGACTCAGAGGTCGCTCACCAAGGCGGCCTCTTATCCTGCGCGTGAGGGAAGAGAGGCAGCAGATCCAGGGTGTCCTAGGAGTGAATCTGGTCAAGCCGTAGGCGGAGTCCTCCGATAAGCCGCGCGAAGAAACGCGCCAGAGCAGCTGTGACTTTGTGTGCCGTCTCGGCGAGGGGGACTGGCGGTCACTGGTGCGACGCTTGCGAGTTGGGCGCGAAGTGACGGCGCGAAGACGAGGTGCCGGTTCGCGACAACTCCTGCCAGCTCGCATTCTCCCTGCGACGTACCAGTCCTTCGTAGGCCTCCCAAACGCACGCATGCACTGCCTGCCAGAGCCTGTGCGAGTGGGCGAGCAAGTCGATGAAGAGGCGAGGCGGAGGAGAACGAGGCGACGTCGCGCGGTCGGACGAGTTTGAGCGAGTTGGTTGGGTGTGCAGTGAGCGGTCCAGCAGTAGCGTATCCGTGCAGTGCCAGTCCTTTGAGCGTGCGAGCGAGGCGAGAGAGCGCGTGGCTCGAGCGTGCGCCCCGAGCTGGTCCTGGCCGCGCTCGCCCCGTCGCCTCGCTTCGTCCCGCCCCGCACAACTCGAGGTCGACCACCACACCGACTAAGGTGAGCACTGCAGACAACCCCCAACACTCGCACGCAACCACACCCCGGTGAAACTCCCGTCAGGCGAGCGCGCGACGAGGGACCCCTGGGCGCCGTCCGAGTGCTGACTTTGCCTTGCCCGCTCATCCTCGCCCTCCGACACCCTCGACGCCCGCCTGGACCCTTCTTGCCACCCCTACGACACCTCTGCTCGCCCCGCCAACCGACGCGACCCCTCCCCGACGCCTCGTCGACTCGCCACGACTCCGCCCTTCCCACCCCCCCTTCACTCGCCTCGAACCCGCACTCGCACACCGTTCCGCGCTCCATTCCCGCATCGCCGAACCGACTCGTTCTCACGCTCTCGCGCTCCGACCTTCTGCGCACCCTCGAATCGCCGTTGTTGGTTACGGGTCGCTCGAGTAGGATGGGCCGCTTCCAGGAGTACCAGGTCATCGGGCGCAAGCTCCCGTCGGACAAGGAGCCGCAGCCCAAGCTCTACAGGATGCGCATCTTTGCTCCGAACGAGGTTGTCGCCAAGTCGCGCTTCTGGTACTTCTTGCGCAAGCTCCGCAAGGTCAAGAAGGCGACGGGCGAGGTCGTCGCCGTCAACGTCGTGCGTCTCGTTCCTCGGTAAACTCCCAGGAGGAAAGGCGTAGCGGAAGAGTGGCAAAGGCGCGAGCGGGAGAAGCGACATCAGGACGTAGGCGGTGCTGACCCGCTCGTCGTGTGCTTGCAGATCAGCGAGAAGAAGCCGCTCAAGGTCAAGAACTTCGGCATCTGGCTCCGCTACGACTCGCGCTCCGGTACCCACAACATGTACAAGGAGTTCCGCGAGCTCTCGCGCGCCGACGCCGTCCACGCCTGCTACCAGGACATGGCCGCGCGCCACCGTGCCCGTTTCCGCTCGGTTCAGGTGCGTCTTGCGTCCCCTTGCACGTCACTGCGAGACTCCAGGACTCATCTCCCGTTGCACAGATCCTCCGCGTCGCCGAGATCGAGAAGACCGCCGACGTTCGCCGCCCGAACATCAAGCAGCTCCTCACTCCCAACCTCCGCTTCCCTCTCCCTCACCGCGTCGTCAAGAGCCGCAGCCTGTTCCTCGCGAACCGTCCCTCGACTTTCTACTAGGTTGACGGCGGTTACCGTGCAATGGTATCTCCATGCATTTGTCACCTCGCAGTCTCCGCTACGATGCTGAGAGAGGTGAAAGAGGTCAAGCGTTTGCGCATCATAAGCCAGCAGCCGACATCATATGTAGCGAGCGTGGGGCGGGGCATAAACGAATGTGTGCGCTCGTGTGTGCGCTCCCCTCATCGCTCGCTCTCCTCCTCTTCCTTCTCCCTGGCTTCTTCCAGGTCGCGCTGCCGTCTTCTTTCTTGTCTCGACCGATCAGCTTCGGTCGTGGCGCCGTTCGAGCCTTCCCGCTGACCCAAGCTTCCGAGACACCTCTCCCCTTTGTTCTCTTCGTCTTTGTTGCTCGACAGTCGACAGCTGGCGGCAATGCTTGCCTGTGAAGCTCTCTTCCTGACTCCGCCCACTCGCCATGTTCAGTCCCGCCTTCGCCGTGTTCAACTTCCTCAGCATCGCCTTCGTTCTCCTCCCAGCGGCATGGCACTGGACAGCGCGCAACACAGCGACCCTGCTCTTCATCTTCTGGTGTTTGGTCACGATCGTACCTATGGCCATCAACAGCGTCGTCTGGTACAACGAAGTCGACATTCGAGCTCCGGTTTACTGCGATGTACGCGGCAACGACCGTAGATGTCTTCGACGAAGCTGACGACTTGCGCTCACAGATCATCACTAAGCTGCGAATTGGCGGCGATGTCGGCATTCCTGCAGCGACCCTGTGCATCACTCGCCAACTCGAAGCCATCGCTGCCGCTCGACAAGCCCAATTCAGTGCGAAGGATCGCTACCAGCGGAGGATCGTAGACCTCTCCATCGGCCTAGGTCTTCCCCTGTTGGTGATGAGTCTGCACACCGTCGTGCAGGGTCATCGGTACGACGTCATTCAGCGCGTCGGATGCATCCCTGCGGTGTACTGGAGCCTCCCGGCCGTCTTCCTCGTCATAATCTGGCCGGTCATCCTCCTTCTCGCCGCTGCAGTATATGCCGGTAAGCTTTGCTTGTCTTCTAGAGTGGTAGTCATCGCTCACATCTCGATACCCAGGTCTCGCCGTCCGCCTGTTCATCGCACGACGATATCAATTCGCTCGCCTCCTCGAATCCTCGAAAAGCGCCATCTCCACCAACCGTTTCATCCGACTCATCGCCCTCTCTGTCACACAAATCGCCTACTCTCTCCCCGTCGCGCTTTGCGTGCGCATCATCCAATTCACCACGATTCCCCTCAATCCCTATTCTAGCTGGGACAACGTGCACTACGGCTTCAACTACGTGGGCACGGTCACCCTGCAGCAGTTCGAACTCGGGAGCAAGACGTATTTGCGACTGCAGGAGTTGAACTACTGGCAATACGCCTTCTCCTGCACCCTCTTCTTCCTCTTCTTCGGTCTCGGCGAGGAATCGCTAGCCAGTTACCGTCGGTGGGGCATGGCAGTACTTCGTCTCGTCCGTCGACGACCAGCATCGGAGGACCATAAGAGGTGCGCTTTCGTAACTGCTCCTCATGGGAACGCAGCTGATCGTTCCTTATCCAGCCCCCTACCTCCGGCAACGTCCATCTCCTTGCCGCCATATCCACGCAGCGACTCGACGGCAACGGAGGAGCGCGAGAAACGGGGTTTCACAACTACAGGCGGCGTGTTCGTGACGATCGAGGAGAACGATTATGCGTCTGTTTAACCATGTACAATACACACTACTTCTTCTTCACCTCCTTCCTACGAACCTGTTCGTCGCCGACAAAGATGCCCTTGCCCTGCGAGAGAAGCGAGTTAGCGTGTCCTGACACGGGCGGAGCCAGGCGGAGGGAGAGGAGCTGACATTGTACGGCTCGGGAACCCTCCACTTGCGGATCTTGGCGGCGAGCTGCCCGACACGCTGCTTGTCGATGCCAGTAAGGAGGATGGAGGTAGGGGCAGGAGTCGCGGCCGAGATGTCGAGCGGGAGGTCGATGAGGACGGGATGCGAGTAGCCGAGCTTGAGGTTCAGGCGTTGCCGAGATCGCCCAGGAAGCGGATTCGGCACGTCTTCGACGGTTGCGCGGTACCCAACGCCGACGAGCCGCAACGGCAGAGTGTACCCCTCGGAAACCCCCTTGACCGCGTTGGCGAGAAGGGCGCGCGTGAGTCCCCAAATCGCCCGCTGGTGCTTGACCTTGGCGTCGTCGACGCTGACGGTGAGCGTGCCGGCGGGTGGTGCTGCAGAGCCGGACGAAGAGGGTGCCGCGGTCGACGAGAGGCGGACGAAAGGGTGTATGGGCACGAGGAGCTCGCCCTTGGGTCCGCGGACGCGTGCAGAGGGCGGGCTCGAAGTGGAGTGCGCGGAGAGGTCTGCGAGCTGGGGCGGCGCCTCGAACGAGACGGCGGGCGGGAGAGGGATGGGGTTGGACCCGACGTGCGAGGACGCGGCGAGAGAGGACGAGAAGGGGCGCGCGAGGCGGGGCGAAGGTGTGCGGGTGGATGAGCGTAGAGCTGCGAGCATGTTCCGCTGTGCAGGCGCGGCCATGGCTGTGAGCGAGCGTGTGAGCGGGTCCAAGGTGATGAAGCGGGGCGGTCGAGCTGGGTCGGCGGTCGACCACGCGCTGCTCTCGCTCTGCCTGCCGCCCGAGTGCTCCCGTGCTGCTCGCCATGCCCGCTCACACTCCCGCAGACAGGAACCTCGTCCGCATCGGCAAGGAGCGCGTCGAGAGCGTGCGTCCTCCCTCATCTCGTCGAGTGCACCGCCTTCACCCGTCCACAAACTGACCCGGGCGCAATGCTCCTGCGCTTGTGTGCTCCTGCAGGTCTCCGCGACAGACTTCCCCGGTCACCACCCTGGCGAGAGCCACCACTGGGACCTCGACCACTTCCGCTCCAACCTCCGCGTCCAGGTCAACTCGCTCAGCCCGACAGCGCTCGAGTTCGACCTCGTCGGCGTCGATGCGAGCGTCGCCAATGCCCTCAGGAGGATCGTGATCGCCGAGGTGCGTTGCTGTGCTGTCGCCGAGCCGCTGTCTCTTTCCGAGTTGACCTCGCACCTCTGGCCAGGTCCCGACGGTCGCCGTCGAGAACGTCTACGTTTGGAACAACACGTCCATCATCCAAGACGAGGTCCTCGCGCAAAGGCTTGGCCTCATCCCCTTGGCCATCCACCCTCGCAAGCTCGACATGAAGAAGAGTACGTTCGTCTGGATTGCCTCAGCCGTCCTGCCCGAATCTGACATGGCCTTGTCCGTACAGCGCCGGACGAGCCGCCCACGGATCTCAACACAGTTGTCTTCAGCCTCATCGCGCGATGTGAGCGGCGGAAAGACGTCAAGAAGGGCGAGACGGATCCTCACAAGATTTGGAGCGGCGTCGAAGGTGCGGGCAGACCCCCGTCTGTGCTCGCTCGTCCACTGACGTCACGATGGCGCAGTGCTGTCGTCGAATCTGTCCTTCAGCTCGCGAGGAGGGCAGGACGAACTCTTCGGTGACCGACCGCCGAAGCCTGCTATCGACGACATTCTCGTAGCCAAGATGCGCGGCGGTCAGGTGCGGCTTCCACACTGCCCTGCGTTCTTGCGCACTCTTGCTGACCCCGAGGGCGCACAGGAAATCGTGGCCGAACTGCACTGCGTGAAGGGTATCGGCAAAGATCACGCCAAGTGGTCCCCGGTTGGTACGTCTTGCCCGCACCGAAAGACTCGCCGCTCGTCAAGAGAAGCTGAGACCGTCTCCTGCAGCCACCGCCTCCTATCGCCTCCTCCCGACTATCGATATTCTCGCCGACATTCCCCCCGAGCTCCACTCCAAATTCGAGGCGTGCTTCCCGCCCGGCGTCATCGAGCAGAGGGGCGGTCGCCTGGTGGTCGCAAACGCTCGGCGGGATACGGTCAGTCGGGAAGTGCTGCGGCACCCGGAGTTCGAAGACAAGGTCAAACTCGGACGTGTGCGAGATCACTTCATCTGTCCGTCCCGCACGTCCTCTCGTCCAGCTACAAACTCTCAGCTGACCGCTCCTTGTCACTGTCGCAGTCAGCGTGGAGTCGGCGGGTCAATACCGCCCGGAGGAGCTGGTTCCGGAGGCTATCGACGTGCTGCTCGCCAAGATCCGCATGGTGCGAGAATGTGCTCGCGCTTTGTTGTAGGAGCGTTGCTGCACCCACCTGTTCCGCGATAGGATGTATTCAGGATGCATTATACGGTTGCCCTTTCTCCCTTTGTCTTGTATTGTCAACGGATCGGCGCTCTCGCCGAAGTCTTCGTCCTTTGTGGGTGTGTCCCGGTCCGATTCCCGTCTGCCTTTGTTCGTCGATGCTGACCTTTGTCCATTGTGCAGGCTTGTCTTGTCGTCTCCCCTTGTTCTCGGTGGCTATTTGAGAGCCGCTCGTCGTTTCGACGCTCTCTCCTTCCTACATCCCTCCTCAGCCAACTCTTTCGCCTTCCTCCTCTCCAAACACCCGCCTACTCTCCACACTTCAACAACATGGTCGCCTACCCCGAGATCTCCTGGACCCGCAACGGCTGCACCGTCTCCAAGTACCCCGAGATCTCGTGGACCCGCAACGGTTGCACCGTCTCCAAGTACCCGGAGATCTCGTGGACCCGCAACGGTTGCACCGTCTCCAAGTACCCGGAGATCTCGTGGACCCGCAACGGTTGCACCGTCTCCAAGTACCCGGAGATCTCGTGGACCCGCAACGGTTGCACCGTCTCCAAGTACCCGGAGATCTCGTGGACCCGCAACGGTTGCACCGTCTCCAAGTACCCGGAGATCTCGTGGACCCGCAACGGTTGCACCGTCTCCAAGTACCCGGAGATCTCGTGGACCCGCAACGGTTGCACCGTCGCCTAATCCTCCGTTCGTCCCGCCCTACCTCACATCACCGCGCATGCCCGCTAACGCTCCTCCCCCTCGCAGCTCAACCAATCCATCCGCCCCGCTCGCCTACCCTCTCCTCCTTCATTGTCGTTCGTCGTCAAAGCAGGAACTGGTCGGTGGAACGGGTACGGGATCAAGGAGGAGGAAGAAGGAGGGGTGTTTGAGGAGGGTATCTTTATTCGCGCAAGCTTGCATCGTCGTCCACACTCGTTTTATACCGTCTTTCGAGCGCCTGTGTCGCGCCTGTGCCGAGAGAACTTGTTGAAGGAGAGGGAGCGACGAGATGCGAGATGAGCGAGACGCGAGGACGAAGAGGCGAGAGGAGGTCGGCCTTCTCAGCCGGAGCGGAGGTGCTGGGCGGCAAGCGAGGCGGGCGGGAGGAGCTGCGAGCGTGAGCGAAGCGTTGTCGTGAAGCGTGTTGGTAAGCGTAAGCGACTCCCGCTCGTCTTGCCTCTCCTCGCACGCATGAGCCGCTCCCGCTCGGAAGGAAGGTCGCGAAAACTGTACTTGCACAACCACCTTTCCCCACTTCCACTTCTACACCCTCCTCTTCTCTTCGACCTCCCTCTTGACGCCCTCCGCCTTGCGCGCCTGCGCATCCACCCACCCCTTGACATCGCGGTACTGTTCGGGGATCCCGAGGTGGGCGGAGATCAGGCGCCATGAGTTGGGGAGGAAGTAGGAGGTTGAGGCGAGGAGGAAGACTGGGGGGAGGGTTAGGCGGAGGAGGATGCCTGCGATGGGGGAGCGGTCAGTGAGGAGAGCAAGGAGGGGAGGAGGGGAAGACGAACGGTTTCGGCCGATGATGGAGCCGGCGAGGGTCGAGACGGCGACGCTGTGGTCGAATACGTCGTCAGTCGCTCTCCAAGTGAAAGCCTCTTACGTCGTCGAGCGACAGCGAAACAGTCGAGGCGAAAGAGAGCGGGACCGGCCGACTTACTAGAAGGCGTTCGGGTTCAGCTGGTCTTTGTCCGACACGACCGACTTGACCGCCTCTGTACGTTCGCAAAAGCGCCCCGTCAGCCTTTGCCTCCGTGGGACGAAGAAGCAAGCGAGGTGGGAAGCGGCAGAAACAGCGACGCACGCTCTCCCCGCTTCTCCCAGCTCAACCACGTGCTCCTCGCATCCTCCGTCTGGCTCTTGACCCGGTCGAGGACGTCTGTCGCTGCGAGACGGGCCGAGGCGACCTCGTCTTGGAGGGGAGACTTGACGGGGACGAGGACGGCAGGTGCGGGCGGCGAGTCGTAGATCGAGAGCTGTGGTCGTCAAAAGCTCTCTTGTCAGCTCTGGAGACTCTCTCGAACAGGTTGACGGTGCGCACCTTTGAGCGGATGGTTTCGGGGTCGGCGGGGCGGGCGAAAGCGCCTGGCTGTGCGGGCGAGTCTGCGCGGAGAGAGGGCGAGAATGCGACTCCTGCTGCTGCGCCTGCTAGTCCTCCTGCTGCGAGCTGGGTGTGCGAGGTGTGCGATGACGGGCGGGGTGAGGTGCGAGGAGGAGTGGGTCGTCGAGAGGGCGTGCGGCGGCGGTTCGAGTGTCAGTCCTGAGGTTATCAAACCCTGCGAGTGCGATGGTGCTGACCTTGAGTGCGATAGAAGCCATCGTGAGCGAGTTGTCCAGGCGAGCGAAGGGACTTGGCCAGATTTCGTCTCGCCGCCTCGTCGCGTCCACACACGCTCGCTCTCTTCATCTCGACTCGCTTCGTTCTCGCTCTCACTCGCACTGCTGGCAACGCCGAGACTGCCACCGACAAGATGAGCATCATCAACATCACGTGCGTCTTCGTCCCGTCCTCGCAGCTGCCCTCGTTCTCCCACTCACCCGCTCGCTCGAAACGCGTCGACCGTACAGCGATGTCACCGTCCTGAACAACCCCGCCAAGTTCACAGACCCGTACCTCTTCAAAATCACGTTCGAGTGCATGGCCCCGCTCCAAGACGGTGCGATTTCCACCCTCCTCACTCTCGCCCCACTTGCTTCGCGAGCTGATCCTCTCTCGCTTTGACACGCGCAGACCTCGAGTGGAAGCTCACGTACGTCGGCAGCGCGGAGAGCGACTCGTTCGACCAGGAGCTGGACACGTGCATGGTCGGGCCGGTGCCAGTCGGCGTCAACAGCTTCGAATTCGAGGTGGGTCTCCCTTCCTCGAGCTGCTGTCGCTCAGAGCCTCTGCCTCGCTTTGCGGAAGCGAGAATGAGGAGGCTCTGCCGTGTCGGCCTGAGAGACGCGAATTTGCTCACATCCACCCCTTCTCGCAGGCTGCCGCTCCTCTCCCAACCCGCATTCCCGCGTCCGACCTGATCGGCGTAACCGTCATCCTCCTCACCTGTTCCTACAACGACGCCGAATTCGTCCGGATAGGCTACTACGTCAACACCGAGTACTCGGACCCCGAGTTGAAGCGCCAGCACGACGCGAGTCTCGAGGAGGGCGCGGAGGAAAAGGGTCTGAAGGCTCCCAACCCGCTGGAACATGTCGAGGCGATGCAGAGGAATGTGTTGGCAGACAAGCCGAGGGTCACAAAGTTCAACATCCAGTGGTGCGTTTTCGCCGCTTCCTCCTTCCTTCCTTCCTTCTTTCCCCTTCGAACCTTTGTCTGACTGTCCTCCTTGCTTGCTCGCAGGGACACCCCCGCAGCAGTCCCAACCATCTCCTCCATCGACCCCATCTCCGCGCCCGCCTCCCAAGCCCTCGCAGCAGACTCAGGCGCCTCGTCCGCTCCTCCACCGCCCTTCAACCCGTACGCCGCGGCTGCATAGCCGGTGCTCTTCGTGGTTCGCTCTGCTTGTGGACGAGGGATGGCGGAGGGGTGGTTTGCGGTTTCGATGCTTGTTGTGCAAAAAGACAAAATCCTATTCCTCACTCGCTTCGCGTTGGTCGTCCTGCTCATATTCACGAAGACTGCGCACGAGCGCCTGCGACAGAAGTCAGACGTTGGAAAGAGAGCGAAAGGAGAGTAAGCGCCTTCGCTCATCTTGCCGTCAAGCTCGCTTGTTCGCTCCTCCTCTGTTTCTGCTGCTTCGATCCTCGAGCTCGCTAAGATGAGCAAGAAACGTAAAGGCTTTGCAACATAGTTCGGACGGACGGACACGAATACAGACCCAGAGGACAAACAGGCGCGGGCCTCCTCCTCACAACCTACTCTCCCTCTCCTGCCACACGTCCCTCGCGCCCCCGCCGCCCGTCGTAAGTCCCCTCCACCCACCCTCAAAAGCAGCCTCAACCACCTCCTCAACCCGCTCGACAAAGACAAAGTCGATCTCGTCCCGGACGGAGGAGGGCAAGTCCGATTCGACGTCGCGCTTGTTGTGCATGGGGAGGATCAGGCGCGTGAGGTGTGCGCGGTGGGCTGCTAGGACCTGTTCATCGAGAAGAACACGGTCAGCGCAGGGAGGAGAGGCGAGAGGGGAGGGGAGGAAGCGCACCTTCTCGCGGATACCGCCGACGGGAGTGACCGCGCCTCGGAGGGTGATTTCGCCTGTCATGGCTATCCCTTTGCGAGGGGCGATACCGCGCACTGCGGAACGGACGAGGCGGAACGAGATTGCGAAGGTCAGCGCAGTCGGCAAGGCTCGAGTAAGGAAGCGAGCGCACTCAACGAGACGAGCGCCACAACCATCGCGACACCCGCACTCGGTCCGTCCTTCTTGACCGCCCCAGCAGGGAGATGCAAGTGCACGTCGAGGCGCTTGAAGACGTCCTCGTCGCGGGCGTGCGAAATGCCGAGCTCGTAGGCGTGCGCCTTGACCCATGCGAAGGCGACGTGTGCAGATTCGGAGATCACGTCCCCGAGGGAACCGGTGAGGTGGAAGGCGCCTGTGCCGGGGTGAGAGGTCGTCTCGATGTCTGCAGTCAAAGGTGGGCTCGGGTTAGTCGTGATCCGACGAGCGCTGGGGAACGTAGCAACGCACGCAAGATGCCACCGTTCCCGCTGCCCTGGTACGCCAGCCCATTGACCACTCCAATCCTCGCCTCCTTCTCCAACTCGTCCGGGTCGAATCGACTCGGCCCGAGCATCCGCTCCACATCCTCCTTCGTCACCTCGACCCTGTACCCCTCCGGCACCTCTCCCTCCTTCACCTCGTCCTTCACCGCATCGCGCGCTTCAGCATACTCGACTGCCTTCGCGCGGCAGACGGAGCCGATCTGTCGCTCGAGCGAGCGGACGCCCGCTTCGCGCGTGTAGTGCGTGATGAGGTAGAGGATGGTCTCGTCCGACAGGGAGATGAGCGAGGGAGTGAGGGCGTTGGCGCGGAGTTGCTTCGGGAGGAGCGACTGGCGGGCGATGTGGAGCTTCTCGTCGTGCTGCAGGCGAGACCAGGTCAGCTGGGTACTCAAGACAATGAACGCCAGGTCCTCGACCTCGACAGGCTCTGACGAGAGCTTGTAAGCGCCAGCCGGACTCACGATGTACCCGCTCAACTCGATCGCCTCCATCCGGTCATACAGCGGCTCCGAGATCGTGTCGAGCGAATTGGCGGTTGCGATGAAGAGGACTTGCGAGAGGTCAATTCTGGTAGGCGAGCAAAGCGGTCAGCGGATGACTTCCGGCAGGACAAGGGGAGAGGGAACGTACGGGACGCCAAGGTAGTGGTCCTCAAAGTGAGCGTTTTGCTCCTGCAGACGTCCTCGGGTCAGCGACGCAACGCAAGAAGCGGGAAAGGGGAAGACGCACCGGGTCAAGCACCTCAAGCATCGCCGCCGACGGATCGCCATGCAAGCTCGCATGGCCAAGCTTGTCAATCTCGTCAAGCAAGATGACCGGATTATTCGTCCCGCACCGCCTGAGCGCGTTCACGATCTTCCCCGGCATACTCGCGACAAACGTCCTCCTGTGACCGCGGATCTCGCTCTCGTCACGCACGCCGCCGAGCGAGATCCGGACAAACTTGCGGCCCATCGCTTCGGCGAGCGAGCGCGCGATCGAGGTCTTGCCGACGCCGGGAGGGCCGTGGAGGAGGAGGATCGGGGCTTTGTAAGGCGGACGAGCGGGGGTGGTCGAGGGAGAAGGAACGGCGGGAGGAGGCGGAGTAGCTGGGTCGCGGACAACGACGGCGGTCTCGGTGACGGCAGCGTCGGTGATAGCTGCGGGCGTAGCCGACTGCGCCGAAGCGGACGAGGCGAGCAGCGCATCCCACTGCTGCTGCTGGAGACGCAGGACGGCGAGCCATTCGAGAAGGCGCTTCTTGATCTTGTCTGCGAGCGAGTCTCTGCGTTAGCTGAGTCTCTGTAGCGACGAAGCTGGAGCAGCGCACCCAGACCGTAGTGATCCTCGTCAAGCTTCTTGCGCGCTTGTGCGACAAAGTCTTTCGAGAGCGAGATCGGAGTCGAGTCGGCGCTCGTCCACGGCAGCGAGAGGAGCGTCTCGAGGTAGGTGCCTACAATCCGCCGTCAGCGCGAGGGGAGAAACGAAAGAGGGAGAACGTACGGATGACGCCGTGCTCTGCGCCCTGCGGCGGACTCTTCTTGAGGCGCTTCAATTCCCTCATCGCAACCTTCCTCGCCTCGTCCGAGAACGCTTTGGCCTCGATCTTCTTCTCAAGCTCGGCGATGTCGTCCTCGTCCTCGTCTTCGCCGGTGATGGGCGATCCAGACCCGCTCGAAGCGGGCAAACGCTTGCGACGCGGTGCAGCCGGGACGCCCTTCGGCTGAGCAGGCGACGACGAGGCGTTACCGGTCCTCCCATCCTCCGCAGCGAGGTCGTCCAACTCCTGCCGGATCGCAAGAAGCTGCTGCATAAGGACATACTCCCTCTGCCTCCTCGCGACATTCTTATCAACCTTGTCATCAATCCGCTTCGACAGCTTGAGCGCCTCGTCCACGCGCGAGAGGATCTCGAGTGCTTTCTCAACGCGCGCAGAGGCGTCGGCGATAGAGAGGATGAGGAGCTTGTCGGAGTGGGTTACGCCGCCTGTCGCGGAGACGGGGAGGGTGCCCATGAGGGCGTCGACGAGTGCCGGGGCAGAGGAAAGTGTGAGACGCGCGACGAGCGAGCGCAGGCGGCGGGCGAAGATCGGGGGGAGGGGAGAGACGGACTGAAGGGTGTCGAGGAGCGAGGTGGTGGTGTCACGGAGAGCAGCAAGGAGTGCGCCTTGGCTGGAAGAGAGAGAGGAAGCGGGTTGGACCGTCACCGGTGCCGCGTAGAAGGGTGAAGAGGAGGAGAGGCTCGATGGGTCGAAGGAGAAGCGAGCGAGTCCTTCGACGACGACCAAGAAGCCGCCGCCGCTCGACGCGGACAAGCGTTCTAGGCGGACGATGCGGGCAGCCACGCCGACTGCGATGGGAAGGATCAGACGAAGCGTCCAGCAGGAAGAGTAGGCTGGACGCACACTCGAACAAGTCGCCCGGCTCCGGCTTCTCGTCACCAAGACCGCCTGCGTTCTTTCCGCCCTCAACAGGGACCCGGATGACCTGCAGGCCCTTCTTCCTGTCCGCAGCAGCATCGTCGCCGTCTTTCCGGCCCTTCGCGTTGTCCCCACCCGCCTCTTCTCCCTTCGGCTTTGTGCGGTTGACGGCGTCGGAGAGGGCATTGGCGACGGTGTTGTTGGCCTTGAGCGGAACACAGCCGATGACGAGGGACGAGGAAGCCGGAGAGCCCGATGATGACACTGACGAGGCGTCCTGCGAAAAGCGAGGCGGCGTCAGCTTGTGAGACCCGCGCGAATGGCTTAGCGGGTGCGCACTTTGACTACGGACCGGATGAGCTCGACCGCATGCCGCGAATTGAGCTGTACAGAGCTGACGAGCGAGGGAAAGAGGACGGATTCCGGGGGAAGACTGGGTGGCGCGGTAAGCGATGATCAGCTCTGGTGCTCGGCTGGTGCAATCAGAGTGATTCTGCGCACGGCAGGAGAGGCAGGGAAGCTGGGATCGGGGTGTTCATAGCTGTGAGCGCGAGTGAACGCGGGCAAGGGAGTGAAGCCGGTCGTGTGTCGGACACTGTCGCCCTCCCGCACGACCAAGTGATGCCGTGGCTTGATAGAGTGAGTGATTACCACGTTGCAACGTCGATAGTCCAGCCAGATCGACGCCGGAAGCTGTGGGCGAGCGTCCGCGGGTTGCTCTCCTTCGTCGCCGGTTCACGCCGTCCTTCGCTTCTCTCCATTCACGCTTTCACAGCGAAACACTCTCGAGGTGAGCACACGCGCGACTCATGCGACACCCACACGCACGCTGACCACGATCCCGCCTGTCCCACGCCCGCCCATCGCCTCATCGCTCCCCACCTCCAGCTCCTCCTCTCGCCTCCTCCCCTCGCTCTCTCCACTCACAAAAATGGTTGTCGCTGCTGTTCTCGGTGCTGCCGGAGGTGCGTGAAGCTCTCCTAGCCGTTCCGCGTCTCGTTGGGGTCGCTCCGGTCTCCTCCACCTCACCCAACCTGCTCGGGGTGTCCGGCGGCTGAGCATGCGGTGCGGGCTGGACTCGAGGGCGTACAAGATTGGACGAAGGGGTGCTCGTGGACGCCTAGCTGACCCGCGCTCGCTTCGCCGGCCCGCAGGAATCGGCCAGCCCCTCTCGCTCCTTGTCAAGCAGAACCCGGCCATCAAGGAGCTCCGCCTCTTCGATGTCGTCCCGGTCGTCAAGGGTGTCGCAGCCGACGTCTCGCACGTCGACACCCCCGCCGTCACGACCGGATACGTCAAGGACGAGGACGGTCTCAAGCACGCCCTCAAGGGCGCTGACATTGTCATCATCCCCGCCGGTGTTCCTCGCAAGGTGAGCGGGCGCTTCCGGTCTTGATGAGCGTTTGAGGATCGGCTTGGGTGCGCTGAGGCGGGCAAAGTGTCGCTTCCGGGTTGAGCGATAGGGGAGACGGCCTGCGGGGCTCTCTGCGGGGTTCCGCCGGGATGAAACGTTCTCCTGCGCCGGCCAGCTGGCATGTTCTCTGTGCTCCTCGGCGACGACGCGCGAGGCGGGACGCCCACCAGATCCAAGTAGTCGAGACGTCGACGGCTGCGCTTCCCCAACCGTCGAGAAGCGCTTCCTTGCGATCCCGGTCTTTCGCATCGATCTCTGCCGACCATGCGCTCAAGGACGTCTTGACTGACTAGAGGACGTTCTGACTGACCATTACCGTCTCCTCGCACTCCCTTCCCTTCCTTCAATCCCTCTTCATGCCGCTTTCGCCTAATCACAGCCTGGCATGACCCGCGACGACCTCTTCAACATCAACGCCGGCATCGTCCGCGACCTCGCGCAGGGCATCGCCGAGAACTGCCCCAAGGCGTTCGTCCTTATCATCTCGAACCCGGTCAACTCGACTGTTCCCATCGCCGCTGAGGTCTTCAAGGCGGCCGGCACTTTCGACCCGAAGCGGTGGGTCCTGTTCCGTGCTCTTGTTTTTCTCTCAGTGCTCGAAAATGAGCGGAAAGCTTGTCGTGCACACCGTTGATCTGCGCCTCGATAAATCCGGTCGCATGAGACTGACTTTCCCCTGCGCAGCCTCTTCGGTGTCACCACCCTCGACGTCGTCCGCGCCTCGACCATGTCCGCCCAGGCCATCGGCAAGCCCAACGACGCCGCGCAGTACACGATCCCCGTCGTCGGCGGCCACTCGGGCGTGACGATCCTCCCCCTCCTCTCGCAGTCCAAGCCCGCCCTCCCCGAATCGCTCTTCTCCGACTCGGTGAAGCTCAAGGCGCTCGTGAACCGCATCCAGTTCGGCGGCGACGAGGTCGTCCAGGCCAAGGCCGGTGGCGGATCCGCGACGCTCTCGATGGCGTACGCTGGGTACAAGTTCGCTGAGCAGCTCATTGCCGCTGCGTTTGAGGGCAAGAAGGGCGTCGTCGCGCCTAGCTACGTCTACGTCGCCGACAACAAGGACGTCCAGAAGGAGATCGGTCAGGACCTCGCCTTCTTCTCCGTCCCCGTCGAGCTTGGCGTGCGTTCCCGCTCCCCTCTCGTCGCTTCCCTTCGCGTGACTGACACGATGCTCGACGCGCGCAGCCCAACGGCGCCGAGAAGCTCCACCCTCTCGGCCAGCTCTCCTCCTACGAGAAGGAGCTCCTCCAAGCCTGCCTCGGCGAGCTCCCCGGATCCATCACCAAGGGCGTCAACTTTATCCAGCAGCCCAAGCTCTGACTCGCTGACCCGGCTACGGGTACCGCAAAGTTGTAGTTAGCTTGGCTTCCTGTCTCTCTCTTCGTCGCGCTCGAGTGGTTTTCGGTGCAAAAGGACGTCCGAATCAGTTCGTAGTATGCTCGTCGCACTCGAGAGGATGCTGGCTTGCGCCGATGAGCAACGGGAACGAAGGCGGAGGCAGACTTAGGCTAGCGCGGACGAGGGGAAGCGAGAGGCAGACGTCTATCTCTCGACTCCGTCATCTCTCCCGCATCGTCAACGCACAGGCTGTGAACTGAATTTTGTGCATTCACTCAAACTGCGCAGTGGAAGAAGCGAAGAGGCTAGGCGAGAGGGGCGGGAGTCTAAAACCGCTTAGAGCTTGCCACCGGCGGCGTCCTGCTTTGCTACGAAGACGAGCAAGTCCACGACACGCCTGCTGTACCCGTACTCGTTGTCTTGAATCATAGGAAGGCCGGTAGGCGATTAACGGGGAGGGGAGCGGGGCGAAGGGGTGTGGAAGGGGAGGTGGGAGGCAAAAAGGCGAAACTCGGCGTCAGGTGACCTCGACGCTTACGGCGAGGTCAGCGAAAATGTTCACGCACCGTACCACGACACGAGCTTGACAAAGTTGTCGTTGAGGGCGATACCGGCCGACGCGTCAAAGATGGACGAGGCGGTGTGGCCGACAAAGTCGGTCGAGACGAGCGCGTCCTCGGTGTACTCGAGGATGCCCTTGAGCTCACCGTTGGCGGCCTCGCGGATGGTCTGCTTGATCTGGTCGTACGAAGCGCCCTTCTCGAGGCGGACGGTGAGGTCGACAACCGAGACGTCGGTGGTGGGGACGCGGAAGGCCATGCCGGTGAGCTTGCCGTTGAGCTCGGGGATGACCTTGCCGACGGCCTTGGCGGCACCGGTCGACGAGGGGATGATGTTGGCAGCCGCAGCGCGGCCACCGCGCCAGTCCTTGGCCGAGGGGCCGTCGACGGTCTTCTGCGTCGCGGTCGTGGCGTGGACAGTGGTCATGAGACCCTCGACGATGCCGAACTTGTCGTTGATGACCTTGGCGAGGGGCGCAAGGCAGTTGGTGGTGCACGAGGCGTTCGAGATGACCGAGTCGGCGGGGTTGTACTTGTCGAGGTTAACACCTGCGCGGCCGCGTCAAAATCAGCGCCGCGTCGACGAGAGCGCTCGGGGAACTTGTTACTCACCGCAGACGTACATGGGGGCGTCAGCGGAAGGCGCCGAGATGACGACCTTCTTGGCACCGCCCTTCAAGTGAAGGCCGGCCTTCTCCTTGGTGGTGAAGACACCGGTCGACTCGACGACGTAGTCGGCGCCCGACTTGGACCAGGGGATCGAGGCGGGGTCCTTCTCGTTGTAGACGTCGATGGCGTGGCCGTCAACGACGAGCTTGCCGTCCTTGGCCTCGATGGTGCCCTTGAAGCGGCCGTGGGTCGAGTCGTACTTGAACATGTAGACCTTCGTGATGGAAGATCCACATGTTCGAAGCAGAGGACGGAAGAGCGAGAGGAGGAGAATGTCAGCGCCAGTTTGCGAGGAAGAGGGCGAAAGGTCCGCTTCTCAGGCTTCGCGCGCGCACCATGTACTCAAGGTCGATGAAGGGGTCGCTGCGAGGCAGGTGGAGCCGGCATCAGTACATTTCCTCGCATCCAACGAAATCCCGACTTCGCCGGGAAGCCAAGATCCTGTCGGCGAGCCGTGAAAGCGCAGACTCACTTGATGGCAACGACGCGAGCATCGCCGTGCTCAATGCTGTATCCGAGAGGAAGCGCGAGCGACCATCGTCAGCTATCGAGCGAGAACGTGCGGGAGTCTCGGTGGAGGGTTGGGGGAGGGGGAGGTTCGACGAACGCGTTGCGGAGGACGATGCGGCCGATACGACCGAATCCGTTGATTCCGACGTTGACAGATCCCTTTCCGGCAGACCTGCGAGCATCCCAGCGGTTCACGGGAAGCGATACGAGCGGATGAGGGAGGAGGTGACGAGACGGGGTCAGCAGAGGGCGAGGGAGAACGCAGGGGACGCGGCAAGTTCAGGGCGGGACGCTGCACGGACATTGTGACTGATCTGGTGTTGTTCTGAGCGGGTAGAGCGAGAGCGGGTGATGGGAAAGAGGGCAAAGGGACGCGAACTTGTCGATGCGGCTTCCTTCGCTCACGAAATCAGCCCTCGCGCGTTTCGTCCCCCGGCTGGACCCGACCTGCGCTCGAGGCGGGCGTGTGACGGCTTCCTGCGCTGCAGATTCAGACGGATCATGCTCTCGAGGGATTGTTTCCCTCCTTCACCGCTTCGCTCGCCCTCTCTGCGACGTCGGCTGAGATCGATAAGTTGGTGATGTGACGTGGCCATCTCCGAGGTTCCTTTCCGACCCTTACAAGCCGAGATTCGCGCAGCTTCGATTGATTGTATTGCTCGAGGTAACCGAGTATGAGGGAGTCGTCTCTCGTCGACCCCAAGCCTGCGCATACTGCTGCCCGCTTCTGGTGCCTGCTCCAATAAATTACTGTACTTGGCGCCGCGATTTCTGGACTATCTCGCTTGCCTTATGCTCCCGCGGCGCCGCTCTGCGCCGTTCCTCCCACGACTTCCATGTCCTCACAGCTTGTTTCGTCGTCCGAAGCGTCCTCTACGTCTTGCAAACGTCAAAAAACGACGTTGGCATCCCGGCGGCACAAGGCTTGCTCCGGTAGGCGACCTACAAGGCGAGCCAGCAGATTTGCTTGTCCGCAGAGATTTCTTCCTTCCATCGTGCCGTCTAAAGGACGAAACGAGGTCACGGAGGAGGGAACTAGAGAGCAAGGTTCATTCCAATGCTTGCGGAGCGAGGAGAACGTCGAACTCCACGCAGCGAGCGAGCAAGGGCGGCTTTGGGAAGACATTGTAGGCGGGCAATGGCTGCTGACCGCGGGCTTGCACTCCCAGATCGCAGCAGCATGGAAGCTGGGCCTCACAGCGAGTGAACCAGAGCAGATGCGTGCAAGCCGATAGAAAACAGCACGACTTCCAGTAACCTTCCCATCTACTCTCGCTCGAGGACACAGCCTGTCCTCTCCTCGTGTCTTCGCCCGCCGACAAGTGCGACGCAGTGCATGGAACGAGGCGCAGAGAACGTGAAGCAGCTGTGAGTTGCAAGGATGGGCAATCAACTGCTCGCCTCCAGCTTGACCAGCATCGTTTCCTCAACCTGCACTCCTTCCGAGCCCGCTTCAGTGTCCTCCTGCACAACCGAGACCGTCTTCACTAACAGCACCTCACCCTTAACCTCATCCTCCTCTTCTCGAACTTCTACCTTGACAGTCTCCGACTCAACCTTGACCGCCCTCGGCAAAGCCGGCAACTCGAGCTTCTCCGCCTCGTGATAGACGACGTCTGCAGGCAACGCAAGAGCTCGAGGCGGCGAAGCACGGAGCTTGGCGACTTCTAAGCCGAAAGTCGCGTAGAGTTGCATTTTGACGGGGTACTGCGCGCATCGCCGCGGTCAGGAGTTGCAGTTTGAGGGGCCAGAGGGGGAGGAGAGCGCACGGGGTAAGCGGCGACTCGCCCGGACGTCGAAGGCAAGCAGTAGAAATAGGTCGCAGTCGTTTCGCCGGTCGAGTCCGAAGTCGGATGCGCGAGGGCGTAGTTCTGCAGGCCTATCTGCGCCTTGATGGGCGGCGGCTTCTTCGCTTTGCCCTTCGTGTCCGTCGGCGTGGGACTAGCGGATGAGGAAGAACCGGACTGGCGGAGGTTGGTAAAGTAGCGAAGGACGGTATCGGCGACTTTCATGCCGACAAACGCTACGAGTCTGCGTTATGTTACCTCATCAGCATTCGCTCAATCTGTCGCTCAAAGCGGAGCGGCTCACTTAGGTCGGTAACGCGCGACCTTGGCCAGGAGCTTTGGGACAGCGGCGTCGAGCTCCTCCTTCGTGAGTTCCGACGCCTGCGAGACTGGGTCAGCACACATGGATGCACAAGCCCGGGGTCTGGGCGCACCTCAATAGTCGGCCTCGCAATCAGGTTCGTGATGCCAATGTTGTAGTCTTCCGGTAGCGTTCGACTCGCGATGGGCGCCAAGACGGATGGTGTCAAGCCAGCGGCGTGCAGGCCCTTGTAAAAATGATTGTGCGGGGACGCATCTGCGGCCAGCGCAAGCCTCGATTAGCACGAGCCTGAAGCAGGAGCGAAGCCGACGAACAGTGCAGCTGCAGTTCCGCGGTCTTGATGCCCGGGTTCTCTCCGCAGAAGAGCACGTCCAGCCCTTCCTTGATTCTATCCGTCAAGGGGTCGTCGCCCAAGTCCGCATAGTCTCCCTTCCTCCGCTTCTTCGCCCGTCGCTTCGATGCCGCCTTCGTTTCCAGCACTTCTTCCTCCAGCTTCGAGTCCGCCGACGCCGAGCCCTCCCTGTGCGACTGTTCCTTCGACTGTCCGCGCAACCGCTTCGTTGGCCGTGTAAACGAATCGAGGGAGAGAAGCGGCTCGTCGGAGGCGAAAGTGGCGGTCGAACGTGTCGTGCGTCGTGACATGCTGACGTTCGGTGAGCAGAGTCTCCGGTGAGCCTTAGAGCGGTACAGGCTCGGCAACCACAGCTCGAGCTGGGCGAGGGTGAAGAGCAGGAGGTCGAGCGAGGAGAGCAGTTTCCAGGCGATGAGGAGGCACGTCCGCGTCGGAGGAGCTCAGGCCTAGCAGGACGTAGTTGTGGACGATGTGAAGAGCTTCTAGAGCTGGCAAAGATCCCGTCTGGTCAGCCAGCGAGCGGAGGAGACACGCGAACCGCTCCCGCAACCTCTCTCACGGCAACCATCCGCACGGCGTACGCTCACCGACAAGGATTGCTTCGCTGGACTCGCCAAGATTCTGTCGGCATGCGTACTTCCACCCGCATCGACGTCGGGAGACGCCCTGACCCGAAGGGGCTGGCGAGGTCGCTCTCCGCGCGCGACAACAAGCCCTCGCACACGCCGGACGCCGCATCCGAACAAGGTGCGGTCAGACAGCCGCTGTTCGCCCATCTGGGCAGCAGGAGTCGCGAGGAGCCCGCCCCACCATTGAGCGGGGTCGTCCTCTTCCTACTTCCGGCGACAAGCAATTGTCTCTTCTCCTGGTTGGCGAGTGATCCGCTCCTGCCCTGTGCATGTTTCAGTCTCTAGGTGCGAGTCCATAAAGGCGGTCGCCCGTGGAACCGAGGCGGGTGCCGGCCGACCTGGGTGGATCCGCACTCCTCGCTGCCTCCTGCCTCCTCGCTCCCTCCCTCACGCCGCTGCACCGATCGCTGGACGACCGCTGCACACTTCCCGACGACGAGCATGCGCTTGAGCAGGAACTCGTCAATCCGTCTACCGGACTCGCCTGACCGCTCCGCCCTTCTCGGCGTCGCTCACCAGCAGAAGGGGTCTCGCATGCGGATCCGACCACAATCTTTGACGACAGCGGCCCTCTTCGCGCTCTGCTTTATGGCGGGCTTCCTCGCGCATCGAGCGCCAGCACCACGAACCGTCCTCGCCTATGCGCCAACCTCTCTCCTCCCCGACCAGCTCGCCTCGTCCATCTCCTCTCAGCGTACCATCCGGTCGACAGCGACGTCGTGCCGACTATGCGACAACGACCCTAGCAACCCGCTCTGCGAGTACGGCGACTCAGCAATCCGACTGTCGCGGGCGTACGAAGGTTCAGGTGTCCGCGTGCGCAAGGTCCTACAGAAGGCGCTGCGAGGGGAGGAGATCCGCTTCGGCGTCATTGGCGCATCGGTGACGGCGGGACACGGACTCGATCACGGCGGAAAAGTCGCTGGCCCAGCGTGGCCGTACCGGTTCGTCGACGAGTTCAAGAAGACCTTTCCCAACTCGCGGATCATCGACGGTTCGGCGCCCGCGATGACCAGCCGATTCTACTCGTTCTGCTGGAAGACGATGGTGCCCGAGACGGAGGCGGACATCTGGCTCATCGAGCTCGACGTGAACAACGACCAGTCGCAGGAGACGCTCGACGCCGACGACGCCCTCATGCGCTCGTTGCTAGACCAGCCGAACGAGCCTGCCGTCATCCGCCTTTCCGTCCTTGCGCTGTCTTTCGGCGACATGGGCCGAGGACTCGCCTCGAACTTGCTCCTCTCCCAGTTCTTCGATACCCCGATCATCACGTGCGTTTCCTGCTCTCCTTTCCCGTGTACGACGTCCAGAGCGGCTGAAGCTGACGGAACTGTCGTCTGCAGCGTCAAGAACTTCCTCCTCCCCTACCTCATCCAGCGACCCGATCTCGCCCCCGACTACTTCACCAAGTTCCCCGACGGCAAGCCCGACTTGGTTCGCTCCACTCCCCCTTCTCCAACCTTCGCAGCAGCCGGACTGACCCTCCTTCTCGCTCGCAGCGGCACATCAACGTCCACCCGCACAACGCCCTCGCCGACTTCCTCACCCTTTACCTCCTCGAGCAGGCGTGCATCACACAGCAGGAGATGAAACGTGGCAGGCTTTTGGCTAAGGACGGGTCGATGTGGCCGCCTGAGGAGACTTACGGTCGCCTTCCTCGGTTGCGAGCGTGGCAGAAGGTGCGTTAGGGACGTCCGCGATCTGGAGCGCACGACAGCTGACCCATTGCGCTCACCGTAGTTCTCGGCGACTGAACACGCCGAACGCATCACGCCAACCTGCAACTTCGCCTCCTCCAAGACCTACCCTCTCATCCCCCTCACCGACTCGGACCACGGCGTCGTCCCCGCCGCTTCTTCGGACCTCACAGCCATCGACGAGCCACACCAGGCTTGGCAGAAGATGGAGTGGAACGACAAGGTTGCTATTGCGAGTAAGGAGGTTGGGTCTGTGATCCGCTTCGCTGTCGAGGGATCGAAGGTTGGGGTCTTCCTGGTGCGTCTCTCTTTGCTTTCAACTCTCAGCGACGAGCTGACGCTGTGTATCGTGCAGTGGCAATGGGCTGGTCCGCGCAAGTCGCTCCCCTCCGAACAACCCGGCCGCGCAACCTGCTGGGTGGACGACTTCTCCGACTCGGCAATCACGCTTGACACGTACTCGACGAAAGAAGCTGCGGCGCCGCAGTGGTTCATGGTGCACGAGTCGCTCAAAGCGGGTAGTCAGTGCGTTCTTCCGGTTCATCATGCGCCCTTCTTCAGCCAGAGCTGACGTGGAGAACGGGCGCAGTATTCTCTCGTGCGAAGTGGCCAACTCGACGTCGACAGGCGGCCACGAAGTCCGCATCATGGGCGTCGTCGCGCACTAGCTCTCCTTCCTCGTTTCCCTCGCCCTGCCTGCCTGCCCTCACGCCCTTATCGACTGTATCCCCGCATCGCCAACTCGGGTCTTGTATCCCTCATGTGCACCTACGCTCACACGTATACCCCTCGACCTCTGGACATACCCACCCAACTCTGCGCTGGTTCGCAGAAACCTCCCCTCTCTCGCTTGACCCCTCATGCAAATCGCATCACTCTCCAGGCTCTCACGTCGCACCGGATTTTGTGATTGAGAGAGGTTTGCATGACTCGTTGCGCATCGAGCGCTTTACCCTTGAGCGAGAGCGAAGACCAAAGAGGGGGAGAGGATCCGGGTGTCGGAAGGTACAGGCGAAGTGAAGCGAGGGAGAGCTACATGAGTGACCGTCGTTGTGCGGGATAGGGGTATGCCAGCTTCGAAAAGCGCGTGGTGAATCGTCGGGAAAAGAGTGTACAACCTCGGGCGGGCGGCCAGCAATCACTGTGCATCCCCGTCTCCCTCCCGCCGCTCGTCTTTCGCCTCCAACTTGAGCGTCGACGAGCTCGCCTCCCCACCAACCGCCGCGTCCTCGCCACGCTCCTTCTTCCGCTCCTCGCCTGTCTTGCCGGCGTCGGACGAGCTGGACGATCCAGATGTAGAAGTCGACGTCGTGCTTGATGCGGAGCGGCGGAGTGTGCTGGTAGGGTGAGCTGGGGCGTCGAGCGTGTCGGAGGAAGTCGAGGGTCGAGGAGGGTAGTCGTGCGCACGCGGTGCAGAGGGCGAGTGGAGGGGTGCGGCGGAAGAGGTAGACGGAGCAGGCGAAGGTGCGCGACGCGTGAATGCCGAGAGGAGGAGCGACGAGCGGGCTGTTGTCGTACGAGGATTGAGAGGCGGTCTTCGCGAGTCGGGAAGGTGAGCGACAGGAGGGTATGCGGGCGTCGAGTCTGCCTCGGTGCGGGTGACGGCTCCGTCTCGCTGACCGCGCGAGGCAGCTTCGTACTCTGCTGCAGTGGGGAGAACGTCCTCCAACCCGTCCGCCAGCGCCCTCGCACGTATCCGCTCCGCCTCCTCCGACGCCGACCCGTCCCCAACCGTGTACATCGGCAGGCCGTTCTCCGCCGTATAACGCGGCAACTCGTCTACCGGCCTCGCACCGCGCTCCACAAGGTCCAAGTCGTCCCATCCATCATCGACGTCCCTCTCGCCCAATCGCACTCCACCATCGCCAACCGTCTCGCCAACCGTCTGCCGCCCGCGTCGGCGGCGTCGTCGTCCACCGTTTGCAGCGATGTCGTACGAGGGAGGAGGTTCGCGAGGGATTCGTTCGGGCGGACCACGGATGTAGATCCCGAGTCGGCGGATGCGGATGCCTTTGGCGGGGATGAAGTAGGACCGGAGGGTTGGCGGGTAGTAGCGTCGGATGTAGAAGAAGCTGCGTATGCGAAGGAGGGGAACGATGTTAGTCGAGAGTTTCGAGCGACGAAGGTCGGGGGGTTCCTCGGTTCCCGCGAGCGTGGCCGAGCGAGCGAGAGAAGGTCAGGCGACTGCAACGTACCGGGACGCAAGGAGTGCGACGACGACGCCTGCAAGGATGATGATGGAGACCTGCGCGCAGGTGGAGGACTCGCGTTAGCGCCGCATACCACGAAGGGGTCCGCGGAGGGTTCCGATGGTCGAGAGAAAGGAGGGTCGAGAAGGCTCACCCAGGTCACCCTGCGTACGGGAGGGCCTGTCAGCGCACGCACGACGTCGAGAGAGAGCGGATACGCACCAGCTGTTGGAGAAGGTGCCGTTCCCGTCGCCCCAGTAGCTCCCGGCCGAACCATAACTCGTGCTGCCCCAGGAGGACATGGCATCAGCTCGGGCGTTCGTCTTCGAGTGAACAGCGAGCGAGAGGGAGCAGAACGAGGAGCCAAACCCTTAAAGCACTGCTCCCCGCGCCCGCGTCTCGGCACCAAACAAGCGCTAAACTCACTTCGAAGTGGATGATGCCGAGGCAGAGCTCGTCGTCGTCGTCGTCGCCTGCTGCTGGAGTGCGACGGTGATGCCCGTCGCTGACGTGTTGGACTGTGCAAAGTTGCGCACACGCAGCGCCATCGCGGTCGGCGTCGCCATCGGGAGGACGGCGAGGTGTGGGTCGATTCCGAGCGAGCGAGTGAATGCGCGGGGAAGCGCTCGAAGTCGGACGGCGCGCTGTTGGGCGGGGACGGGTGCTGGCGTTGTGCTGGCAAGCTCACAGAGAGCGTCGGTGCAGTCCAGAGAACGTCCACGGGAAGCAAGAGTCAGGCGCAGTCGGGAGAGACGATCACAGGAGTTCGGCTTCGAATACAAGATGAAAAGTGTAATCAGCTGATTACAAACTGACTACTAGTCGTGGGCTACACTTCACCTCGCTCTGGCGGGATTGCGAGTGACTGGACAAATACGCGTACTGCTTCAGACACCGGAGAATGGCATCAAGCGAGCGGTACGAGTCATGGAAGCGGACCTCTCCTCGACTTGGCTCGTCTGCGCACCCCACTCCGCACGACTTCGCTCGCTCACGGCTCTGGCTGTTCAGTGAGAGCACGACTCGCGCTGACAATGCCTCCAGGGTCGGCCGCGATCGCCATCGTCAAGCCGGGCGCGAATAACTCCTCCCTCTCGCCCACCGCCAAACCAGCCCAACCACCCGCGGCGACCGCCTCGCAGGGCAAGCAGCCCGGTCAGAGAGGAGCGCAAGGTGGACTGCGAGCGCCTGCGAGTCCCGTACCGTGAGTCGCGCGTCTTGCTCTCGGCTCACGGGTTCATCTCCCCTTCGCGCGTCACTTCGCGACAGGCGACATGCTCGCCAGCTACTGACCTTGGTGTGGACTCGCGCGCAGTGCAGCACCGTCTACGCCTCTCTCGGTCGCAGCGGCTTCCGCAGCCGAGTTCGTACCGGGCGGGAGCAGCTCAGCAGGAGGAGGGAGCGATGCTGGGTCCAGGACGACGGGCACGATGACGCCTGGAGGGAGCACGATGGCGGCCAAGGCGGCAGAGTTTGTTCCGCGGAGAGCAGTCACGTACGTCCGCTCGCTCGTCTCGCCGTCCTGGGACTGGACTGACTTTCCTCCCTTTCTCGCGATGCGCAGACCCGCATTGTCAGAGGATGCGCCGTTCTTTACGCCTGCTGGACAACAGCAAGCTCCCTCGGCGCCAGGCTCGGTTGCCGACAGTAGCTACGGGCGGGCGATGGCGGAGGCGAGCCAGCAGACGGCGGAGGGCCTGTCGGAGTACTACCAACAGGTGATGGACCTTGTGCGTCCATCCCAATCCCTTCAAGATTCCTACTGACGCTGGGAATGCCCGCAGAACGCCCCCGACTACACGCGACCCATGCCCGGCGCCGACCCCTCCGCGTCCATGAACCCGTACAACTTTGCCCACGCGCTCGCTCCGCCTGGCGCAAACGGTGGCGCACCTGGATTGCCTGGGCTGGGACATGCGGCAGCTGCAGCCGCGGCTGAGGCGGCGTATTATCATAACGGGATGGGCGCGATGCATCCGGCTGCGATGGGATTCCAGCGACAACCTGTGAGTTTGGCGTCGAGCTCTATCATTCGCGCATAGCTTCGCTGGCAGCAACGGCTGATGCTCCATTCCGACGCCGTCTTCGCAGCTCCAATACCACCTCTACCACCCTCTCCCCTCAACCAATCCCCGCCACCTCTCCTCAAACCTGTCCTCCCGCGCCGGCTCCCACTCCCCAACAACCTCCTTCTTTCTCCCTCCCGCGCTCCACATCTCCCTCACCCAAAAATCCGAAGCGACGCAAACCACCCCTTCGGTCGACCTCAAGTTGCCTGAGGAGGTCGGGGGGTACACGGGTTTGGTACCGCTTGATCGGCCGCCTAGTGAGGGCGGAGGAGGCGGAGTGGGGTGGGTTGGCTATAGGGGTTGGATTTATAAGGCTTGGAAGGAGGGAGAGGGGAGGTGTTATGCGCTCAGGCGGATCGAAGGTGCGCTCAGCTTCTTAGCGTCGCTTTGGTGCTGGAGCTTGCTTTGGTGCTGGAGCTTGCCAGTTCGGAGCTTGTGTGCCACCTCTGAAGGACGCGGGAACTGACGAACGTCCCTTTTCCCAGGCTTCCGGCTACAGCACGAAGCGGCGATCGCGGCGGTCGAGAAGTGGACCCGCGTGCGGCATCCTGGGCTCGTCGGCGTGCGAGAAGCGTTTACGACTCGCGCGTTCGGCGATCATTGTGCGTGCGGTCGTCCTGCCCACCTCGACTCGAGCTGACCCAGCTTTTGCGCGCAGCCATCATCTTCGTCTACGACTTCCACCCCTGCTCGCAGACGCTCTACGAAGCGCACCTCTCCCCCCTCGCTTCTCTCCCTCCGAACCCCTGGTCGACACCTCTCACGCAGCACCACCACCCGACACAACACCACGTCCACCACGGCCCTCACGCCGCCCACGCCTCTCCCTTCCGTCCAGGCGGTGCGCTCGCTCGACCAGCCGGCTCGTCACCTTCTTCGACACCCGCAGGAGGCGCCAACTCGACTGCGCTCCCCGAACGCGTCTTATGGAGCTATGTCGTCCAGCTTGCGTCGGCGCTCAAATGCGTGCACAATAGCGGACTGGCGATGCGGACAGTCGATGTCAACCGGGTGTTGGTGACGGGAAAGAACCGCGTCAGGCTTGGAGGCGGAGGCGTGTTGGATTGCTTGACTTGGGACGGCGGGCAGAACATCCCGGCGCATCAGGTGCGTTCCGAGCTGGGCTTTGTGGGCGACGTTCCGACCCAGCGGTTGCTGACATCGAGGTTGTGCCGCCGATCTCACAGCAAGACGACCTCCTCTCGTTCGGCAAGCTCATCATCGCACTCGCTTGCGGCTCGACCTCAGCCGTGCACAACCTCCCCAAGAGCGTCGACCACATCTCGCGCATGTACTCGCCCGACCTCAAGAATGTCGTCTTGTACCTCTTGAGCAAACCTGGGCCGAGGAAGACCATCGAGGAGGTGTTGGCGTTGATGGGTCCGAGGGTCGTGGATGAGCTTAACTCGAGTCTTGTGTGCGTGTCGCGCGCGCCCTCTCCCTCTCGTCCTGGGCCTGAGCTTGACTGACGGAGATGGACTTATTTGTGAACGCGCAGCGCCGAGGACACGCTCGAGCACGAGCTCATGCGCGAACTCGAGAACGGCAGGCTCGTCCGCCTCCTCACCAAGTTTGGCTTCATCAACGAGCGGCCAGAGTGCGTGGATCTCCCTCGCATGTCGCTGCTGGCGCGTAGCATGCTACTAGCGACTGCCTTCGGTCGAGAGATGTACACTCACGCGTCGGATTCTTCACCGCAGATTCGACCATGACCCGCGATGGGCAGAGACTGGCGACCGATACCTCATCAAGCTCTTCCGCGACTACGTCTTCCACCAGGTCGATGAGACGGGCCGACCCGTCACCGACCTGAGCCATGTCCTCACCGCGCTCAACAAGGTGCGTTCGGTTCGATGTGCATGGCGGCTGGAGGTGTTGCTGACACTCTTTGCTGTCTCCTTTCATTTGATTCGACGCAGCTCGATGCGGGCGTGGACGAGAAGATCATGCTGGTGTCGCGCGATGAGCAGAGCTGCCTCATCGTTAGCTACCGCGAGGTGCGTCCAGCGTTCCCTCCTGCACACCCCTTCGCTGCTCCGGACTGATTGGTTGTCGCGGTTGCGCAGATCAAGAACTGCATCGAGAGCGCATTCGCCGACCTGTCGCGGTCGAGCTGAGCGTATGCCGAGGACAGACCTGGGCGCGAGGGAGGAGGAGGAGGCTTTATGCTCGCACACTTGCGACGGTTGGTCGCGCGTCTCTCGCCTATGCCAATCTACTCTATTACTGGACGAGTGAGCGCACGATAAGGAGAGGGGAACGAGTTGCGGAACTCGGCACTCTCGCACTGGCTGAGGGCCGACTTCTCTCGCTCACCACGCTTTCGTCTCGCCGCTCGAGCTTGCGCAGGCTGCTGAAGAAAGGATGGCGGGCTCACGCTCACGGCAGTCGTCTGCCTCCCGCCCGCCCCGGTCGCCCTCGCTCCATCCCACACCCTCGACTCGACCCCCGTCGCCCTCGTCGAACACCCGCTCACCCTCGTCCTCGCGCACGCCTGTAGCCTCGACGTCGACTTCACCCGTCCCTTCGACCAGTGCGACCTTCGCTGCCCACCCGCACGGCCACCAGCAGGCGGGACAGGGAGCCGGAGGACAAGCGACAGCGATGGGAGGGAGCAGTAGCAGCGGCGGAGGCTCGGCGCACTGGCGGGACGGAGCAGCGTCTGGCGTGTATGCTCACGCGCCAGAGTTGACGCACTACCTCCAGTCCACGTTCGTCCCGTCGGTCGTGCCCCAGCAGGACGAGTACGATGCGAAGGAGCAGGCGCGGCAGTACCTCGAGAAGCTGGCGGACCAGGTCTCGCCTGGAGCCAAGCTGTTGCCGTTTGGGTGCGTTGCGGAATCGCTGGAGCGGGCGCAGAGGTTGGGCTGACCTCGACACCTTTCCCACCCCCTTTCACAGGTCAATGGCAAATGGCTTTGCGCTCAAGAATTCGGGTGCGTGGAAAGGCGTAGACCTGTTGAGAGGTCGAGTAGTCGAGCTGACCCGAACTCGGCGCAGACATGGACCTGTGTTGCTTCCTCGCCAAGGATGCGCCAGTGCGGTCGCCCTCCGAGCTGGTCGAGCTGTTGGGCCGGTTAATCGAGCAGGGTGTGTACAGCCTCGAGAACTCTCCAGGAGCGCCTGCTGAACCCGCCGACCCGAACAGAGACCAACTTCTACGTCAAGACGCTCCCTCGCGCACGAATACCGATCATCAAGCTCACCATGCCGCCAACTGCGAGCGTCCCGGCCGGCATGGCTTGCGATATCGGGTTCGAGAACCGGCTGGCGCTGGAGAACACCCGGCTGCTCTTGACTTACGCGATGGTGGACGCGCGATTACGGACACTGGTGCTCTTCCGTAAGTCGCGACCGTTCGCTCGTCAGGGCCTCCTTCGCGCAGTGCTGACAAGTGTCTGACCCGCAGTCAAGGTCTGGACGAAACGGCGGAAGATCAACAACCCGTACCGAGGCACGCTCAGCTCGTACGGCTACGTCTTGCTCGTCATCCACTTCCTCGCACACGTCAAGCAGCCGCCAATACTTCCGTGCGTTCATTCGTTGCTGAGCAGTATCGCAGCCGCTCACCTCGCTTCCGCAGAAACCTGCAACGACTACCTCTCCCCGAATCCGCCAATCTCGACGAGCTCACCTACGAGGGCCACGACATCTCCTTCTTCGACGACGTCGACGCCCTTCCCTCTGTTTTCCAAACGACGAACGGCGAATCGGCCGGCGAGCTCCTCATCGACTTCTTCCGGTACTTCTCAAAGGAGTTCAACTACGCCGGCTTGGTTGTCAGCATTCGGAGTGAGGCGGGCACGATGCAGAAGACGACGAAGGGCTGGCATATCGACATCGAGACGGACCCCGAGGGGACGGTGCGAGATCAGCACAAGCTCTGCATAGAGGTGCGTCCGTCGGGTTGAGTCTAGCGGGGGACGGCCGTACTGAGTCTCGTCCGCCTCGCAGGACCCTTTTCAACTAGACTACAACGTCGCGCGAACAGTGACGAAAGACGGGCTGTACACGGTGCGTCTTGCTTCGGCTTCGGACCGCAAGTGACTGCGCCGGAAAACTGACCTTCCTGCCTCGACAGATCCGCGGCGAGTTCATGCGCGCCTTCCGCATTCTCACGACTCCTTCTCGATCACCCGAAGGCATCGGCGCCGTCATCAACTCGCTCTGCGAAGAACGAGAAGATTACCTGCTCATCCACCCCTCCGACGATCCCTATGCCCGCCTGCACGCCCCTCTGCATCACCAGTCCCCACACTACGGCTCGCACCCCCAGCAGAAGAGCCCACGTAGACGATCAGCACCCTCGCCTCGCATGGCTCCGACTCTGTACGGCGCCGGCCTGCATCACCAGCCGCCTCCGCTCGGGCAGGCGTCGATGTCGCGGGACCACCCGCTCTGGGCTGTGGCGATGAACGGGACGGCGGCAGGCGCGGTGCAGCAACCGCCGCAGCTTGGTCGTGCGATTGCGGGATTGGCAATCAATTCCGAGTCGAGCGGAGGAGAAGCGGTCGTGTCGGCGGGTCCGGCGAGCGAGAACGGCGACGACGCTCCTCACCTGGTGCTGGGGGACGCGTTCGAGCCGTCGACGGGAACGGGCGCATCCGGCATGTACCCGCACCCGACAAGCATCTACGCCCTGGCCGGCGCAGCTCTTCGACATCCGCACGCTCACCACCAGCCGCTCGTCTACCCGTACGGCAGCAACACAGGCCGCCTCGCCCCACAGCACATGTCGACTCCGCCGACCGTCGCAGGTTCGCCGCCGCCCTCGGAAGCAGGCGCGAGCTCGTTCGGCGGGCACGAGAGGCGGGCATCGTGGGATGGCGGACTGAAGGACGGAGTGGCGGCTGGTGCCGAGCGCGGCAAGCTGAGAACACCGTCGATGGGCGGAGCGGGAGCAGGAGGCTCTTACGACTTGCACCGGTTCTTCCAGAACCCGCCGTCCTCATCGATGAGCGATGCGGGAGGACCAACAGCCTCGTCACCCCCCGTTACGAGCGCTTCGACGAACGCACGAGGATCCGTCTCGCTCACTGCGCCTTCGAGTCCGGAACTCGCCGCCCAGTCCGCCTACTTTGCCGGCCACCCGACGAGTCATTACTCGGCGTACGGCGGCAGGTCGTCCCAGTACCGGTATGGCGCATCTGCGGCGTCGGCTGCTGCCAGCGGAAGCTACGCTCACGTCGGTCCTCGCCTTGCCACATCCGTCCCCCGAAACCCGCACACCGCTCATCACGCCTACACAAACCCCTACGCCTCGGCTCCCGTCCCGTATCCTCTCGCATCGACCTCGACCTCCGCCACGTCCTCTGCCTACACGAGCCCGAATTCAGCGCCCGCCGCCTATCCGCTTGGCGCGAACGGCAACACCGCCAGTCCCGCCGCGCCCGCCCCTCCTGCGCCCATCTTCCCCGAGGAAGACCGCGAGGCGATCGCGCTCGCAAACAGCATCACGTTCGGCAACTTCCCCGAACTTTTGCCCCTGCCGTCCTACGCGCACTACCACGCCAGTGGAGGGAGTGCGGCGTACTTGGCAGGTGCGGGTGGCTGGGGCTCGACACCGTACGGCATCAGCGGTCCAATGCGCGTAGGTAACAGGACGCATGGACCTGGCGGCGGCCCCAGTCGGGGTGGGCCTCGGCAGAGCCTGAGCAGCACGGCCGAAGACGAGGATGGCGAGTCTGCGGCGGAGTTTGAGGACGAGGAAGATGCGGCAGAAGCCGCTGAGCGTGGTCGGAAGCGACGACCGTCAACGGACGAGACGCTGAGCGAGGGCCGGGCTGGTCGATCGAGAGGCGGGAGCGTTCCGCATGTTCGCATGGGGCCAGACGGCCGCGAGACCCTCCTGTTCGGCGCCATCGAGGTCACTCTGCCCAAAGCCGAAGACACCGACGACATCGACTGGGAGGACGATTCGGACGACGACTTGCGGAGAAGTCCTGTCATCGCGGCATCTGAGGGGAAGTCTGGGCTGGATGGGCGGGACCAGGATGAGCGCGAGGTTGCCTTCCTGGGACCAACGCCATCCGCCGCCCCGTCCGCGCCTCAAACGACGGCTGCCTCAACGGAAGAAATCCCTCCCCACGCCCCTCGGACGATTCCCGTCCTCAGGACTCAGCCGCCGACTCCCGCCAAAGCGCCTCATGACCCCGCTGTCGACTCGGCTTCGCCTAGCCGTCCGTCTCGCAGTCGCCCGTCTTGGCCTCTCGTCGAAGCGCCGCGTGTGCCGCTTGACGACGAGATGACCCCTCGGCCCGCTTCGCCCGTTACGGCTGCAGCGAACGGGTGGGCGATCCTGCCGCAGCCAGCTTCCGAGCACACCCGCCACCCAGCGGATGCGTCAGCAGCCGTGACCGTCGGCACTCCCGAGACGGCTTCGCGCGCGTCGCCCGTTGTCAATGGCATCGCGGTGCTTCGACTGGACGACGTCGAGAACGACAACGTCCCGCCGATCTCGAGCTCGCCTCGTGCTCCTCGGAGCCCAAAGGCAGAGAAGCGAGCGCGGCAGAAGGAGCGCCGGCGGTCAAGCTCGTCGACCATCTCGTCATCCTCCCCGGTTCCCCAAGACGCCTAAGCATACATCCCTACCGCCATCGAAATCTATTGCACTCGAACGAGACTCGTCGTCGTTGTACATCTCGCATCCCTCGCGGATCATGGGCGAAGGGCTGGCGTTGGAACGGCAGCTCCTCGGTGGCGGTGTGGCTCGCGAGGAGTGGTATTGGGTTTGTTCCGAGGATTGCTAGCATATCTTTCCCCCTTGTCCGCGAAGTCCTAGCGGCCTAGCCGTTCGTTGTCCACCTGTCTTCGCATTTCCATCACCGCGTCAGCTATCCGCATACATTTGACTACCTCGCATTGACCTATCTGCAATCTGCAAGCTCTCCCTGTATCTCTCGCTCTCGCTGCCAAAGAAGTGCCGGCCTTTGACGCTAGTTTCGAGCAAGTCCTGCATTGCGACCTGCTCAGAACCGCTTGTTGCGCGCATCGCCCCACACCTGGAACGGCAGCTTCCAATACCGCTTGTGCAGTGACGCGTCGAAGGGGTTGTAGTCGATTTTGGGCGAGGCAAGGCGAGCGAGGTAGGAGCGGGCGGGAGTCTGGCCATGTCGCAAGCCATCGTCAGCACTGCAAGAGCCGATACGAAGCTCGCTATACGTACAGCGGACAGGAATACAGGCACGGCGCGCGCTGGCACGCCCTTCGTCCCCTCGAAGCATTCTCTCGCTGTCCGCAACTCGGCCTCTGCGATTCCGGCCAATTGCGCCACGGCATCCTGCAGCCCTTCGGCCTCGGGTCCTGAGCGGAAGAGCGCCTCTTCGCGCAAGTTATGCCGGGCAGCTGACGGAACAAACCGGGTCAGTTACTACGCGACCAGAGCAAGAGAAAGACAGCGACTGACCGACTTCTAGCGGTATGACATTAGTCCGCTTAGCAGCATGATGGGGGATCGAGCGAAGGAGTGTGGCGATGGTAATGGCGACAGCGAGGTGACTTGCAGCGTGGTCAAGCGTCAAGTCGTCCGCTTCCTTCGCAGCTTGTCCGCTTTGGCCTGCTCCCGCGTCGTGCTCGTGCTCCGCACCGGTATGCTGAAACGGCGTCGCGTGTCGAAGACCGGCTCCAGTCGAGAAGCCTTGAGAAGCGGGAGGTGCTGAACCTGCAGCCGTCGCCTGAAGGAGGAGATAGAGAAGCGAAGCTTGCGTGCCGGCGCTGTAGTCGGCGAGGTCCTGAAGAGAATGGAATGTCGGGTTCATGAAGTTGGCTTCGCGGGTTGAGATTAGCCGGGTGAAGTGGTAGGACGAGAGGAAGGGTCGCTGAGGAAGCTGGGAGAGGAGGTTGAGAAGGGGGTGAGGAGGTGGTCGGCCCTGTAGGGATGACAGTGGGTTCAGCTAGCCATCCTCTCCTGTTCTGGAAGCTGCAGCAGCTCGACAAAGCGGTACAAGACGGGGACGAGGAAATGATCTTACCTCGTAGAGACCCTTGATCGCGTCCTTCCACCACTGGAACCGCATTCGCCCGACGAGCTGATTCGACACCTGGTCTGGAAGCCCCGCCAGCTCGACATTGAGCGCACGGAGGGCGAGGTATGCCGGGCGGACGCTCGAGGGGTAGAAGTAGGAGGCATAGATCGACTCGTGGTCTGCGCGGCGGACGAGGTCTGTCGCGTATAGCAGCGCCTTGTCGTAGGCTTCTCGCGAGCCTGGCGCAGTCGCCTGGCGCACAACAGCTGAGGCTCGCATGGTCGTCCGATGTCAAAAGGCGAAGGATTGATGAGGCGGGTCTCCCTCTCCACCTCGCTTATTCTCGCTGAGATGCTGCCAAAATGAGCGCAGAGGATGCAGAAAGCTCGCCTGACCTGCCAGCCGCGCCATCGCCCGCTTTTGCAGCTCACCTCGACCGCTTCCGCCTCGTCTCCCCCACTTCTCGACACCCGACTCCTCCAGCACCTGTCGACTGCACGCAGGACCCAAAGCAGGAGGCAGCGAAATACACCCCGCGCAAAGCACCCGCCCGCTCACGCCGGCAGTCGACCGGAACTCCTCCTCGTCCGGATGGAACGAGCACGCACTTCAAGCGGGGGAGCGAAGATGTCGATGCGGCGTCGGTAGACGGTCCTTCGCCGCGCAAGAAGAAGAAGAAGTCGGCGAGGCCATACGCGGACCCCTCGCAGTACGCGGATCTGGGCGACAATCCTCTACCGGATTATCTGAAGGACGGACTGGATCTCTTGCTTTGCGGCATCAACCCGGGCGTCAAGAGTGCACAGTCTGGCTTTCATTGTGGGTGTTCCGTCGCTCAGGCGTTCTCCTTGCGCAAAGCTGATTGAGGCGGCGACTTGTTCGAACCTTCGGCAGATGCGAACCCGACGAACCACTTCTGGAGCTGCCTCAGCGAGTCCGGCCTGACCGACCGTCGCCTGCACCCGTCAGAAGGTCCGCTGCTTCCGAACTACGGCATCGGCTCGACGAATTTGGTGCAGAGGCCATCGGCGGAGGTGCGAGACCCTTTCTTCTCGGCGTAGGCACCGAATCAGCCGCTGACCGGCTGACACAGATGAGCGAGATCTCCAATGACGAGATGAAGGAGCGCGTACCGTTCTTGCTGCAAAAGGTCGTACGGTGCAAGCCGAGGTCCGTCTGTGTCCACTTCTTCGAGCTCAGCATCTTGCTGACGCCGCCTTCTTCGTGCAGAATCCTTGCTTTCGTCGGCATGAAGATCTGCGAAGTCGTCATGCGCTACCTGCACAACCTTCCCAAGCCTGAAGTATCGGTTTCGACCTCGTCTCCATCCTCCAGTCCCAGCAAAAGCCGGCGCAAGGCTATGCCGAAGGTCAAAATCGGCTTACAGGCTGCGACGATTTCTTATTCGCCCGACATCAAGCCAGAAGACCAAGGAACGGACGAGGCGCGGCAGAAGACGTTCATCTGGTGTCTTCCGTCGACGTCTGCTCGGGTCGTCGAGTATCAGGTACATACTCGCGCCCTCAATTCCTTTGAGCTCGCTGAACTCTGGTGTCTTGCGCAGCTCGTCGACAAGATCAAGATCTGGAAACTGCTGAAGGCGGACCTGGACCAGCTCAAGGGTTCCTCGTCACCCTCCCTCGACTGGCCCGATGGCACTGTCGACTATCCAGCCGAGTCGCTCTTTCCAGCCAGCAGCGGAACGCTGAATGCGGGTCCGACGGGCGGAGGCGCGTTCAGAGTGACGCTCGTTAAGATTGAGGACATCAAGCCGAGTCTTGCGGATGAAGTGATGGTTGTCGCGGACGACTGCCAGGTGGCAAGTGCGAGGGCGGTACAGGATGAGTAGCTTGAGTCACGAGGCACCTGTTGCTATCCCTCTCTACCTCTGCCCTGCACTATTTCCCAACTCTTCCACTCAAGCCTCGTCGGCAACCTCCCTTAAATAAGTCCTCCTGCAGAACAAGTCACGATGCAGTGTCTGTTTTTAGCGAATCTACTAGGCCTGGGCGCACAGCGCTTTGGCACCCTCCTCCGCCGCACTCTCGACGACCTTGACCTCCGCAAACTCAAGTCCCCGCTCCTTCAACCCGCGCAGCAGCAGATCCCGGTAGCCCTCCGCCTTCCACATCCCGCCTCCGAGCGACAACAGCGCCCTGCTCGGATTCACGACGCTTCTATCGCCCGCGAGCTGCACAATCGAGTCGACGAGCGGGGCGACCGCTTCTCGAACGATCGCAAGTGCCATCTCGCGACTCGCGGCATCCTTAGCGCCCACCTCCTCGAAGGCGTATCGGAAGACGACTCGTGCGCCGCTGGCGATCCAGAGTTTGCGGTTCGACTCGCCGGCGAGGAATCCGCCTACTCCGTTCGAGTGGTCGCGGTAGGTCTTGTCGATCAAGGTAGCGGCGTCGGGGACGTCAAAGTGGTGGAGGAGGTCGAGAAAGAGAGGGATCGCTGGAGACAGTGAGGCGTGTGGGTCGCGGAGGGCCGCGGTTGTCCGACGGTCGTAATCGCTCAGAAGGCGCGTCATGGCTATCCGCGAGACGGCGAACGCAGAACCTTCGTCGCCGAGTCTACATGGCGCGAAGTGGTCAGCAAGAAGCGGGAGCTGGAGAACGAGCGAGCGCACAAGAAACCCCAGCCTCCGCTTTGCCCGATAAATTCCAGCTCTGAGCCATGTCTTCGGAAAGCTGCTCGAGCATACGTCAGCACACAGAACCCTTGTGGCGGATATGGAAACTTGCCGAGGTTACAGCTGCCCGTGCCAGCGACCGTCGCAATGGTCGAGTCGAGGTTCGCCATCGTCAAGCAAGGCGCGGCGAGCAGGTGACCATCTATGGACGGGTATCAGCATCGTGTGCGTCGGAAGTGAACAACAAGTAGCTCACCGTTTGTGATCTTGAGCGCATCCTCGCCTTCCTCGAACCCGAAAGCCTCGCGAGCAAGGGGTGCAAAGTCGGCCACGTCGCTCGGGTAAAGGACTCCGGCCAAGCCAAGCCATACTCGACTGAAGAAGCGAGCGGGTAGAGGCGGGGGATCATCGGTTGAATTGGGGTTGAAAGGGAAGTCGAGCAGCGGAAGCTGGGAGAGGGCGTCTTGAGTTGCGCGCAGGATGGTCCGCATCGCTTGGCGAGGCCCGACGCTCTTGCTGGGATGCGCTAGACTTAGCTTCTGACCCACGCAGCGCATGGAACCACTCACACATTGCAAGGTCCGCCCAAGGCTGAGCTGGTCAAGCCCGTCGACGACCGTATGACGCACTTGACGGCGGTCCCGCCAGCATCGACGCACAAGAACCATTCGGGGAGTCGCGCCGAAGGCATAGCTGCGAGTGCGGGACAAAGAGGTTAGACGCCGTTCCTCTCCCTTGTCCTGCGCTTGACCTGCAACGTCCGCCACGCCCCGCCACTTCCTCAGCTGGCATATGACGATGTTTACCTACTCAATCGTTAACCCAAGTCCACCCCTGCGCGCGGTAGACTCCCGATCTCTTGCCGGCTGATGAAGTTGAGAGAGAGGTGAGAAACGAGGTGGACGGCGTCGCAGGGTCCGAGGGCGGGCGGCAAGGGCTCCGGTGTCCTATCTGAGCGCAGCTGTAGTATGAGCGAATGCCTCGAGCGAGTGCAGCGGTGTTGTCGAGCGCAAAATCGGTTCCCGGGAGCTGGCGAGCGGGTCGTCTCCCTCCGCCAGAACACCGACTCTGCTTGTGTGTGGCGCGGCACGGGCAGAGTCCACCCGAAATGCGGGCAATCTGCAGGCTCACACGACCGCGCGGTCGACTGCGCTAGCGTCCCTCCTCCTCCCCGCAACCGGAGTCCTCCCGTCTCCGATACCGCGCCCTCGCGCCTCTCCTTCCTGCGCGACTCTGCCTGCTGCAGGACACGCTCTGTTCTGCTATCCAGCCATGAGCAACCTCGACGCGGCCAGAGTTGCGGAGGAACTGCCGCCGCTGCCTCACCGGTCCCGCTTGCAGCGCCTGTACGCCTCGCCCGTCGTCCAGGTCTTCCTCATTTCCGCAATCTGCTTCTGTACTCCGGGCATCTTCAATGCAAACTCGGGCGTAGGTGAGTGGGGCCGTTCCTAGGCGAGCGGCCGTATCGCGCGGAGGCGAAGGGGTTGTTGACAGGCTATCCCTCGCGTTCCCTTCATTCTCACTTGCAGGCGGCGGAGGACAGGTCAACCCGAAGACCGCGAACGATGCGAACGTCGGTGAGTCCCAGGAGCTCGTCATTTGTCGGAGCAAACAGCCGCTAATCCTCACTTGCGTCTTTTAGCTCTGTATGCCTGCTTCGCCGTAGTAGGCTTCGCTTCCGGCAGCATTATCAACCGCATCGGCGCACGACTCGCCTTCTCCATCGGCGCTTCGGGCTACGCTCGTGAGCACGCACGATAGCGTTCTGTCCAAACGCTCCCGCGGTCGCTGACGCTCCTCTGCGCAGTCTACATGGGCTCGCTCCTTTCGTACAACATCAACGGGAACCGCGGCTTCGTCGTCGCAGCCGGAGCACTCCTCGGCGTCTGTGCCGGTCTGCTGTGGACCGCTCAGGGGTCGCTCATGCTCGCTTACGGAACCGAGCAGACGAAAGGTCGCCTTATCGCTCTGTTCTGGATTGGTACGTCCGCTTTCGGCCCAGTATGTCGGTTCTACTCATGTTGACGGTGAGTTTCACAGTCTTCAACCTCGGAGGAGCGCTCGGCTCGGCCATCGAGGTCGGCCTGACCTGGAAGTCGACGAGCAACACGGTCGGCAACTCGGTCTACATCGTCTTCCTCGTCATTGCCGCTTGCGGCTCTTTCCTCCCGCTTCTGCTGGCGAGTGCTCATCGCCAGCCTTCGGCCAGAGCTTTCCGCTCACACAGCTCTTGCAGGTTGACCCAGCGACAATGGTGCGGTCGGACGGCACGCGAGTCATCCCGCCGGTTCACCCGAGTGCGTTCTTGTATTCCGACATGCTCAAGATCTCGTTCGTTGACATTCACCTCTCCCGCCAGCCTGGAAGAAGGAGGTAGTCGGGATGTGGCAGTTGATGCGCAAGGAGGTCATCCTCGTCTTCCTCCTCCCGCTCTTCTTCTCCTCAAAGTACGTCGCCCTACTCGATCCTTTCTACGTCGACGGCTGACGAGTGCGCCCCTCCAGCTTCGGCTACACCTGGCAGCAGAACAGCTTCAACGGCGCGCTGTTCACCCTCCGCACTCGCTCGCTCAACTCGTTCCTTTTCTGGTCATGCCAGATGGTCGGCGCCGGCATCTTCGGCATCCTGATTGACCTGAAGCGGTTCCGCCGGAAGTCGCGCGCGTGGGTCGCGCTTGCGGTCCTGCTCGCCTTCCATTGCGCGGTTTGGGGATCGGGCTATCACTACCAGAAGTACGCTCACTGTTCTTTTCTTGCCTGAATGTTGTGCTGACGAGCATCCTTCGACAGGGACTACTACCGCACGCCAGACGGCGCCTCTCACCCTCGCATCGACCTGCGCGACGCGGGCTACGGTGGCCGAGCCGCCCTCTACGTTTTCATGGGCATCCTCGATGCCATCACGCAGAACTACGCCTGTGGGTCGCGAGGGCGGCCGTTACGCGGGAACAACGAGCTGATCTTGACCTTCGCAGACTGGCTGATGGGCGCTATCTTCAACCAGCCCGCTTCGCTCGCTCGTCTCGTCGGCGTCTACAAGGCCATTCAGTCAGCTGGCGCAGCAGGCGCATTTGCGATGGACTCGGCAGAGACGGCGTATATGAGCGAGTTGGCCGCGACGTGGGCCGTCTGCGTCGCCGGACTCGTCTTCTGCATCCCGGTGCTCATCTTCCGCCTCAAGGACCGTGCGTACACTTTTGACGTCGCTGCCTCGCTGGGACTGACTGACGCCGCGCTTTTGCACAGACACGGACGACGAGCTTGTCGTCGAGGTCGGATCTCACGACGAGATTTCCTCCACGAGCGAGAAGAAGGCGGACGAAGCGGAACTATAGACACTCGAGCTGTAAAGATACGATGTCGGGCTCTCCAGAATCTGTCGCGAGCGAGAGACGCTCGTCATGCGTTGCTGTGCAGAGATTGCAGGTTCTACCGGATGCTCATGCGAGGGACTTGCTCCTGTACAGCAGAATGTACGCCGAGTGGTCCTCGCCTGCGCGCAAGGACGTCAGCAGGATGCGGAGGAGCCTGAAGCGAGTTCTGAAACGCACCTCCGCCCTCGAGCGCGAGGATCTTGTCCTTCGAGACGAGCGAGACTTTGTCGTCGTCGAACTTGTACCACTCCTGCTTGTCCGGGTCGACATCGTACGCCTCCGCGCCCTCCTTGCCCTCGTTCGGGTTCGCCGCGCACCAGCCGACATAGTGCCCGCCGTCCGCACTCGCGCCCTTGTGCGTCACGATGCCCGCCAACTCGTACAGCGCGCTGACGTTTGCGCCCTTGTCCGCCTCGAGATCCGGGTGAACGAGCGACATGAGCGTCGCGAGCTCCTCCTGCCGCTTCGTCTCCTCGTCCGGCAACTCGCCCGCCGTGCTCGCCGGCGCGTCGACGAGCATCTGCTCGGGCGGGTCGTCGCTAGGGTTCGCCTGCGCCGGTGCTGCCGCCGCCGTCTCGCCCGACTTGGCCGCCGCGTCGTGCTGCTCCGCCTGCTTCCGCATCTTCCGGCGGGCCTTCGTGCGCTCCCGTCGGTCCTTGTCGAAATCCTTGAGCTTCTCGTTGACAGGCAGGATCTTGCGCTTGAGGTCGTCCGTCAAGAGCTCGGTGACGTCGAGGTCGAACGGGAACTTGACCTTGCGCATGATCTTGGTCTTCTTGTTGATGTCGCGGCGCCAGTAGAAGCGGACCATGTGCACAGTGAGGTACGACGGAAGGCGAGAGATGCGGGTCGTCTCGTGGTAGACGGCTTGGCGACCGAGGGACGGGCTGTTCTTCTCGATGTCCTGCTCCATCGACTGTGGAGCCCGAACGAGGTCAGCGAGTGGTTGGGCACAGCAAGAGCTCGCGGCGCGCCTCCGAGATGCCCTGCATCATGTAGTTGGTCGTGCCCGAGATGTTGCACTTGACCTCGAGGAACTGCTCCTTCGAGACAGTCGGCTGCTCCTCCGGTGCCTCGGCGCTCTTCAGCCTGTCGAAAGAACCGTCAATCACGCGCTCCGGGACTCAAGAAGCGGGGGACACGCACGTCTTCTCAAACTCGCCCGTCATCATCCGCTCGACGAAGTTGCCCCCCTCCGTCGTAACCGAGCTCATCCGTGCCGCCTGGACGATCGCGCCCCATGCCTCCTGCGCGTCCTGCTGCGCGTAGCCACCGTGTTGGCGAGACTGCTCGGCGAATTGAGGGGCAAACTGGCGGAGCATCTGTCACGGGACGGCGGGAGGTCAGCTAGTCGTCGCACGGCACCTCGGGTAGACGCCACGCACGCTCAGGAATGCGAGAGGAGGGAAACCTTCGGTCGTTCGGCCCATCGACTGGTAGAGGTCGCGAAGGGAGCGGGTGAGCTGCGCGTCGGGCTGGCCGGCGCCGAGCTGGGATCTGCAGGAGCGACATTGTCAGCTGGTGACTACAGAGGTCCGGCGAAGACGGCTTACCCGTTGAGAGCCGTCTGCAGTTCAGGAATCGCTCGCAGGACCTGGACCGTCGAGTTCATGTAGCAGGTGTTGCCTGCGAAGTGGAGACCGCGTCAGCTCGTTCACCGAAAGATCAAAATTGGTGCAGGCGACGCTCACCGAGGTTCTGGAGGCCGACCGGGTACTTGGCCTGTACAAGGGGGACGAGACGGGGTCAGCAAGCCGCTCCGCCTCGCCAGATCGCCCCAGCTTGCGCCAACGCACCGACTGAGCCAACTCGACGTCTGTCATGTCTTCCATGAAGACGATGGGCTTGCTCGGCGCCTGAGGTATAGGTCCTGCGGGACCGATGACCTGTGTGCGCGCCCGTCAGCACGATTCAGCGGCGTTCGCACTACAGAGACAGCTCACCATGACCGTCTGACCCTGCAAGCGTGCGGAGAAGGGCGTCAGTACGCAGCAGGCCTATGAGTATGAGCGGGTAGTTGGACGAACCGGCTTGAAGCCCAGCTTGTTGAGGTCCGCATCGTCCTTGAGCATGCCGCCCTTGACGGGGATCTTGAGCTTGTCGGTGGGCACGCCCGTGAGCTGGTAGACCTGGTCTTTGAAGACGGTGGCGGGGTTGGACGGGTCAAAGTCCTTGAGGTCGTAGGTCTTGCCCGCGTGCTTGAGCGAGATGGCGAAGGGTGCCATGGTCGTGTACTCGTCACAATGAGCAGTCAGTCAAGCGAAGCGAGTCCCTAGCGAGTGTGCGCTGGTTTGTGAGCGCGAGTTGAGCGAGAGAGACTCGTCAGCGAGCGAGCGAGGGGCGGTGTCGGTGTTCGACCACGGCGCACTCGTCCAGGCGCAAGCAGGTGAGCGCTACGAACACCCTGACAGTCTCGTTAGAATTGTCCAGCCACTGGCATCCCTCCCTCCCGAGAGAGACGCGTCCTTTCCCATCGGCGCCTTTCACAAATCGCTCGCTCTCCTTGACTTGACTTGATCGCACGCTCTTACGCTCTCCTGCTCCCGGACGAACAGCTTAGTCGCCAGCTAGACACTTTCTCGACACACAACAGCGCCCGTACGTTCCCGCACTCCCTCCTTCGCCCGTTCTCTCCTGCGCTCGCTCTCCGGATTCCGGTCAACCAGCAGCAACGGTGGCAGCGGTCCACGGGCGTCTGAGGGCATGCAGTAGAGCCACAGACTCCTGTCGACGTTCAGAGCACCTTTCCACGGGACCAGCGCTGACTCTTGCGCCGTACCACCCACTTGCGCCCGACCCTCTCTCCTCGGATCTTCCCTCCGCCCTCTACCACATCCCGCCCACCATGCAAGACTTGCAGACGACCCTCTCCGCTCTCTCCGACCTCCTCCTCGACGGCCAAGCAGACATGGAGACCCAGAGCGTTCTCAGCGACATCAGCTACCAGTACGAGGACTACGGCGACAACATTCGCATCTCTGCGGTGCGTGCACCCTTCCAGTACGGGCCGGAGTGGTGTACGGGTGACGGAATGGGTGAACGAGGGACCGCTGGGCTGACTCCGGACGCCCCTACGCCGACAGATCGAGCCCCTCATCCAGCCTGCCCTCCTCAAGTCCGAAGTCCCGCTCTCCGACGCCTCGAAGCGCACCATCGCCAGGTCCCGCGCGCAGGTCGCTGCCGTCCTCCGCGGCGAGATTGACAAGCTCGTCGTCGTCGTCGGCCCTTGCTCGATTCACGACGTCGACGAGGCCAAGGAGTACGCTGCGCTCCTCAAGGAGGAGGCCAAGAGCTTGCCCAACCTCGTCGTCTTGATGCGCGCCTACTTCGAGAAGGTGCGTCGCGGCCGTCCATCTGCCTGGGTGTTGAAGCTGACCTTCGCCTTCGTCGTCCCGCAGCCCCGTACCACCGTCGGCTGGAAGGGCCTCATCAACGACCCCGAGATCAACGGCACGTACCAGATCAACAAGGGTCTCCGGATAGCTCGCACGCTCCTCGCCGAGCTCACCGCCAGCGGCGTTCCCGTCGCTTGCGAGCTTCTCGACACCATCTCGCCGCAGGTGCGTCATCTCGCGATCTGTTTCACGCTTGCTGGGCCGTAGCTGACGGTCACCCGCACCACAGTACCTCGCCGACGTCATCTCGTGGGGCGCTATCGGCGCTCGCACGACTGGTGCGTTCCGCTCCTGTCCCGACACCCTCCTCCCCAGGGTTTGCTGACCTTTTCACGCTCCGCAGAGTCGCAACTTCACCGCGAGCTCGCGTCCGGCGCCTCGTTCCCCATCGGTGCGTCTCGGAAAGTCTGATGATTGCGTGCGGACTGCAAGCTGACCCGCCTCTCCGCCTTTCAGGCTTCAAGAACGGCACCGACGGCTCGCTCGGAGTCGCCGTCGACGCCATGCTTTCCGCCGCTCACCCTCACTCGTTCCTCGGTGTCACCGAGTCGGGTCTCGCCGCCATCGTCCGTACCGCCGGTGCGTTTCGGCTGCCTTCCTCCCGTTCTCTGGATCCTCGCTGACCGTGCTTTTCGTGCTGGCTCTCCAGGCAACCGCGATGTCCACGTCATCCTTCGCGGCGGCTCGCGCGGCACGAACTACGACTCGGCGAGCGTCAAGAGCGCCGTTGAGCAGGTCCGCAAGATCTCCAAGCCCGAGTTGCCGTTCCTCCCCGCCGTCATGGTCGATGCTTCGGTGCGTTCTCGCTTCTTCTCTGCACCTGCTCGCGCACTGACCTTTGTCCTCCGCCCCGCAGCACGCCAACTCGCAGAAGGACCACCGCAATCAGCCGAAGGTGCGTTCTCCTCCCGTCCTCCTCTACCTTTGCTTGCGTGACTGACGCTCGCTGTTCTTCCGCAGGTCATCGCCGACGTCTGCGAGCAGATGCGTGCCGGTGAGAAGGGCATCTGCGGCATCATGGTCGAGTCGAACTTGGACGAGGGCGCGCAGAAGGCGCCGAACGGTCGTCAGGGCTTGAAGCGCGGCGTCAGTATCACGGATGCGTGCGTCGACTGGGAGACGACGAAGCGGATGCTGCGTGACCTCAACGATGTGCGTCCTTTCCTTTCTCACGTGCTTCTTGAGATGTTGCTGACCCCGATTCCCTTCCCTTGCACAGGCTGTCACTGCCAGGAGGGAGAAGGCTTAGCTTGGTAGATCTTCGCATTGTCCGCTTGAGAAAAGTACATAGAAATGCCGCATCTAGAAAAGTGCGCGAGTGCTGGGAGACTCGGCTACTTGGTCAGTGGTGCAAGTTGGGAGCCGTGGATGTGCGTGAGGAAGAGAAAGCACCCCCTTCACCCTCCCTCGCCCACTTCACCCTTCTCGGAGCATCTCTAGCCTGGCTGCAGTGTGGAAGTCCCGGTCTGTCGTGCATCTTTGCTTGTGGTCCTCATGCGCTGAGAGCCTTGGGTTGACATTGTGCTGCGCTTTGTTTGAGCTGCAAATAGAAGCACCCGTGATTGCACCTGGGCGAGCGAAAGAAGACAAACCAGTCTTGGTAGTTTCGCCGTTTCCTCCCAGGTATCTTAGCAGCTTGTAGGAGGGTGTTCCAATCTTCAGAGTCTGAATGGCGTGTTGCCCGCTCCTGGGAAAAGTGTGTCTGTGTCGCTGGTGACCATGGCGAGCTGCGAAAGCTAGGAAATTGTCTGTCTTCAGCGGAAGGGTGCGGGCAGCGGAACATGCAAGGAGGGTGTATTGCTGCTGGGAGCAACAAGAGACTCAGCAGGCAAGGGAGAGAATGGGAGGAAGAGTGTAAGATGCAGCCCTAGAGAAGTGTGACTGGCGGACGAAGGTGTAAGGCGTGCGTACGCAGCCTCACAATGGAGATGGGACGGATGTGATTGCAGCCAGGAGACGGGAGGGTAGTTGGGCGGTTTGTGGGTTGTCTCTCTTGTTTCTCCTCATGCAGTCTGCAAGGCGCACCGTCCTCAGCGCGAAGCAAGGACCGGCGACTAGCGTAGTTGATGGCGGACGAGCTGTAACGAGACCAATTGATACTGATTCGGGTCCTGTTCCAGAAGCGAGTGCGAGAGGGGAGGGGGGCGCTGAGGAGAAAAGAGAGAAGAGCGAAGAGCGGGAGGTCTACGAGCTAGATCGATCACCCGACAACAGTCTCATCATTTCCACTGCTGCAGTCCTGCCATGACCATGTCCGTTCAACAGGAAGAGCGAATCAAGCCGAAGGCGAGTCGAGCGAAAGAAGGCGAGTCGAGGAGACCGGGAGAGACGAGGTGGAGTAGCGGGCGTAGCACAGTCGCTGACTGGAGAACCAGGTGTGTTCTTTTCTGTAGTCTCTCTCTCTCTCTCTCATGCTGACTGGAGAACCAGCAATCAAACGCTGTTCCATCTCTGCCGGCGTATGCGAGTGTTGGCGCTCCCGACAAGCGACTTCCAGAAGGCCAGTGCCGACCTAGATAGTGCAAGACGCGCCGTCCTCAGCGCGATGTGAGGACAGGCGGCTGGCGCAAGTCGAAGTCGGGCGACTGAAACGAGACCGAAAGATACTGATTTGGGCCCTGTTCCAGAAGTGAGAGCGAGGGGGAGGGAAGCGCTAAAGAGAGAGAAAGAGAGCGACGAGGAGGAGCTCGGAGGCTACGGAGCTAGATCGATCACCCAACATCCGTCCTCACCCATTCCACCACGTTGCATGCACCGTGTTCGTTCAACAGAGTTGAGCTGAGTCGAAGGTGAGGCAAAAGAAAGGCGGAGTCGAGGAGACCGGAAGTGTCAAGGAGATGAGCGGGCGTAGCAGATAGACAGACTGCACGCCGCACCGGGTCAAAGACGGCGGGCGGCAAGCGGTTCGGGCGGACACGAGTCACTAGCGTCTCCGGCTACAGGAGAGATGCAAAGACAGTGATTTGGGTCTGGGATTCTGAGTAGCCTAAAAAACAGAGACGAGCCGAGCTACGAGACGAGCCGCCGGCGCCGGCGTGAAATCATCACCCGACATCTGCCTCCTCCTCCTCCGCTTCCTCCTGCAACACCGCAAACTGGTTGATCGAGACGAGCCCTCAATACTGCGGGCCTGCTGGGTCAGGAGCATGAGCACAGGTTTAGCTAGACTGTCAAGCATTGCGAGGCTCACATTGAATCTGCAGGCTGAGCCAATGAGGCCCCCTGGTACCCTCCGCCAGCCTTCTCCCCAATCCCCATCTCCTGCTAACCTGCCTTTGTTTTGATACTGTAGCGAACATGTCTTGCACATGCATGCATTGCAGACAGATGCCTGAGGCAGAGATTGCCTAGACTGAGGCAATGAGGCGTGAGTCCGGGAGACAGACGACCGAGTGCATGATGCATGATGCTCCGATGGATGGGAAGGAAAGGGATCAAAAAAAGAGCATGAAGCAAAAGACAGTGCCCCGAGAGAGGATCGAACTCTC